AGTAAAAATACCTTACTTCAGCATGATGCATTTATAAAGTAATACTCGAATTTATAGCAAACAATTGAACAGATTATCAATCGTGAGAAAATTACAATAAAATTAATAAACTTTTATTGCAAATTATGTGTTTTTAATTATTGCTAAAAAATTCCATTGTTATAATGAAAATTTTAAGCAATTATTTGGTCTAAAGTCATAAATATTATATTTATGACGAAAGAGAAATTATTAACAAAATCAAGGAAAATTTAATTAAGCAAAACAAATGTATATTTAGAATGTACTTTAGAAAAAAAGTACGAACAAGAAACCTTTGAAAATTAATATTCTGTTTTTTTAACGATAAATAATAAAATCGGCTATGAATTTCCATTGCATTTTGCTTATGCGTAAAAGAAACGAACAGTGAGAAAATATACTTTACAATTTTCTCGATTTAAGCAGCAAATTTGTAGTTTGCTTTTTTCATTTTTCTTTCCTTTATTTCTGTGCATTTGTAGTTTTATTTTTTTAATCATTTATTACAAAAAAATTTTTTTTTTTTCATTAAATTTGAGCTATACACTAGGATTCATTGAATGCAATTAACTAAAACCACAAACAAGGAGTCCTTTATCCTCTTATGGCTATTTTTAACGTTTTACACTTGTACCCCGTCACCCCTCCCCCCTCCGCCATGTATCCGTTTGTATTATTTAAGCATTGCATTGTATTGCATTATTTCTAATATTTCACTGCGTAATATTAGGATGATAAAGCACCATACAAAAAACGGTCCCACTAATATGCTATATGTGATTAATACCATTAGTAGTGCACAATCTCGGAACAGCACATTTTTTATTTGCACATACAAATAAAATTCATACGCGCACAGAGGTGCTTTTGTGTACAATAATAGGTCCCTTTTCCTTTTTCCTGCCACACCCTTAAACGCCCAAATAAATCAATTTCAACCAAAGTTGGGTTATGTTTTAACAGGAATATTCTTTTATTCACAAAGGTACACTTTATATTCTTTCGAAATGTTAAAGATTCTTCTTAAACGGGACGCAAGAACTCTTGCGAGAATGGTACCATAACTTAGAATAGAATTTAGGCGGAACAACAAATTTCCCCTAATTCTGCTAATACCGAAAAAATTCGCAATACATATTTCTTATTCGTGCTAAACAGCAATTTGGAACACTTGCAAAGCAAGTTTCATATGGCTATATTCTCCAATACAATATGCAGCCACTACACAGTTTACCATATTATCCATACCCTCATGGTATTCTATGCAATATAGGGAGTGTTCCAAAAAATTACAACGAATTTGCCATTTTATGCTTATTTTAAAGGAATGTTCTTATAAAATCTGCACCCACATCTTTATACTCCACAAGCGATTAGGGCCTTTCTCCGTGTCAATATACTGCCCGCTGTTTTATTTTACATATGTATAAACAACCTAGAACATTGTATTACCATGTTTTATTACATTTTAATGATATGAAACCAACTTTGCATTTTCCGATTGTTTGTCCGTGGTAATACTTATATGTCAAAAAATGGTCTTTTTTTTTTTTTTTTTTTACCCCTTTTTGTATTTTAATTCCTAATAAATTTTCTTCGAACAAGGAACCACAATTGTGTAAAAAGAATAATAGAGTGTTCAAATTATGGCGTCAAAATATGCCCGTACGCATTTCCTTCCTCAAATTATCCACTTCAAAACATGTGGAAATGTATGAAAACAATATGATAATTTTAAAACGCGTAAAAAATAATTAAAGGGAGTTATGCACAAACAGAAATTTTATTACGCGACACCAATTTTTTAAACGTTTTGTAATGTAAAAATGAATGCAACGTAAAATACTGACGGAAAAAAAAAAAAAATACACGTGCGACTTGAAAATATGTTTTCATATTTATGCTTCCCTCATTTTTAATGCTACTTAAATGAACACTTGCGCAAAAATCTCATGGCAAATGAAAACAGGAATCACGTGCGCAACTTTGGTACGCAGCAGAACTCGAATTATTCACCACGTAAACATCACTTGTAACAGAAACAATTTAATTATAAATTTGCAGGGACATTACGATAGTTGTAAATAGCAACACATATGCATACCTACATAATACTATGTGCATATATATGTGCGCACCCTGTTTATTCCCTTACGATAAGCAATCCAGCTAACCCACTGACATAACTTAAAAGGGATGAACACGCCGCATAAGTAGGACAAACTCAAAGAACAGGTCTGACCCATGAACTTTTCCAATAAAGGATCGCAATTCAAAAAGGTAAAAAACAAAGCGCCAAATGGAAAAAAAAAAAAAAAGTCAAAACATTCCAAAGGCAAACATGATGGAAGAGGAGGCTTCTTCAGAAATGTAGACCCGCAACAGTATTTAAAGCCAGTGCAATTTGTTAGTGGCGGTTTTCTCAATAATAAAAAGCATGTACCATCAGCAGAACAGGAGGCACATAAATTAAACGCCACCTTAAGCGACGATGATTCAGATGACTTCAACAAGTACGACGTCTTTCAACATTTCACCTTTGATTTCAGTTTTGACAAAAAGAAGGATGAAAATGATTTTATAAAGAGTAATTTAAAAAAGTATAACCTCAAGCAACTCCAAGAAAAGGACAAAAAGTTTTTTGAAATATACGGATTAGGGTTTAAAATTTTAAGGAAAATGGGCTATCAGGATGGCATTGGGAACAAAATAAAGACAAACATTGCTCCAATAGAACTTCAAAAAAAGCATGTAACATTTTTAGAAGAAAAGCCACAAGAAAATTCGAATGATTCCAGTTCTGATATTGACTTATACACACAGGAAAGCTACATGGACATTTTTAATGAACAATTCTATAGCAAAAAGTTGTGGAAAAAAAAGCATAAATATAACATGTTCTGGAGCTTTAAGAAGACAAAAAATTGGATTAAGACACAGTTAAAATATAACGCCTACATTAATCCAAATTTTCATTTATACCATGATGGTCAGGAATCCGATGACGAACAAGCTAGTAATTTAATAAGCGCGCAAAACGTACTCATTGATCATATTAAAAATATCATGTTCCAATATTGCAATGTTGTAAGAAAACAACAAGAGCTCGAAACTAAATTAAGGAATTACCAAGGTTCTGGTTCCCACAAAGATATTTACAAGATGCACGTGTTAATTTTAAAAAATGTCCTAACGTATAAGTACTTGCTAAATTTTCACACCACTCTGCCCTACCCCTCTCTCTTTAACAATGCAACATTCAATGAATACCTTTTTGGTGTAAAACAACATGATCCCCCAATAGAGGAAGATCATGGTGGCAATCGAGCAGATGATTGTGCTGATCATTATGCTCAGCGTTATGATGATGGGGATGCACACACAACGGGTAATCAATACGTGTGTAACTCCCCTAATGGGGGCAGAATCACTAAATTGATAAATATCCAACCCACTCATGTAACTAACCCATTTAGCGTAGGGGGGGTAGACGAAGAAGGAATCGACAGACATTGGGACCTGAACTCTGGTACCTTTGTCACCTTTGAAGAAAAGCTCAATAATATATTAACGAGTAACTATAAGCTATTGTGCCAGAACAAATACTTCAGAAATACCCCAAGATCAGTCGGTGCTCCTTCACATGACATTGGAACATACAAAACCCTGGATGACTTACAACACATATTCGATTTAATAAACATTAGGAATATCGAAATTGAAAAGGGCAAATATCCGTTGCTCTTGAGTGACCTGTACACCTCTGTGTTTTTTATTTACGAAAATTCGCAGTTCTTTTATCTCAGCATCCACGTGTCACGCTACCTCTTGGAGTTCCTTCGCATTTATTTCCACAATAACAAGGAACGAATAAAGAAGCAGTTTATCTGTGATGACAAGGACGTTGAAGATGGAAGAACGGCAATTGGGGGAAATTCAAACAAAAATTTTAATTCGGAATGTTCGAAAAATTCCGACAGCTTGGAAAACTGCCAACATCGTCAAGAGCATAGGGAAACAAGGCAAAATGCATCGACCGCAAAGGATGAAGAAGTTTCCGCGTGTGAACATCCCTCAACTGATACTAGGAGCCAAAACGATCAACTCAAGTTTAATCAAAATGATATACAATATATAATATGCTTAAAAAAAATTGTTCTAATGGGAGCGGAGCAACACAGTATGATGGAATATCGAAAAATTGAAAAAGAATTTGACAACATAATATACTACACATATATGTACCCAGCACTTTATACAAAACAAATTCTAGAAATTTACAATCATATAAAACTTTTTAGGGACGCCATCAATATAAGATATTATAAGAATATACTAATAATTTTTATTGAAAAAAGAGTAATTTCCAAAGTGGAAAACATCGAAAATGCACAAATACAGGAACACACTCTACAACACATCAAGAACAAACTATGCATTCTGTTTGATATTAACAAACAGTTTGACATTAGCTCCAGCTTATCTAGGTACTACACACATTCTGTATTTCCGCATTTGAAAAAATTTGATTTGTCACAAAATTATATAGAACTCATCAAAGTAGCACTTATGGACAATATGTACAAAAAGGAAATTTTCGAAACTGTTGTAAAAAGGATAATTTGCGAATTGATTGACATAGATTTTGTGGACGACAATTTTGTTCAACGCCTTCGTAAAGTTATGATACTGCACAACTGCGTAGACGACACAATCGTCTTTCTCATATTTAAAGTATATTTTTTTTACAATTTTTCAAAGCACGTATGTGCTTATCTGAGAGAGCTTAACGCGTCATATGTACACAAAAATGAACTAACATGTAGTTCGCAAAAAGTGGAAGCTCCATGCGCTGCAGAGGAAGACGCCCAAAGTGAGGAACAAAAAAAGCTAATGCTAACAAATAAAAAAAAAGAAATTTATGAAACCTTTAAAAAGGTGAAGGATGTTTTTGAAAGTAATTTAATGAAGGATAATTCCATAAAAAACATCATGTTCAGCATATTAAACGTCATAAAGACATACCTATTGCAAGAGAAAATTGTTACCTTCCCTGTCGAAATGGTGCTAGACTTTGACAAAACTAAAATTTGCACAGATGATGATCAGAATTACTATTACTTATATAAGGATATAAAAATCCCAATTCCTCTTTACGCTGTTCCACAAAGAATTAATAAGATATTTGAAATAAATTATAAACCCAAAGTACGAACAAATCAAATGAGGGATGAATCAAAAAGTAGTTATGTATTCTCTCCAAAAAAATATGTGCACTTGATGAACAAAATAGAAGATGATGTAAATCAATATACAAGAAATTCGCTAGATGACGAAAATATCAACGTAAAGAATTATATAGAAACCTATTGCGTACAAAATGATATCCTATTTTTACAAAAAAATGATCGTAAAATAAACGGAAATGTAGTCTATTCGATTAACAATTGTTCCATATATATTAGCAACAATATTATATACCTTTATGAAAATCACGAATGGAAGCCAACCTTGTTACGTGATCTGTTAGCAAAATTGTAGCAAATTTTTTACACATTAAAACGGGCAGCAACAAAATTTGCTACATTATTCTCACGCAGGAGTGCCTTCTTTTTTTTGTGAGCAACTACGATTTGTTTTTCTCCTTTTGGAGTTTTATTCCCAAGCACCACCACAATCGCTTAAGAAATGTTTTTTTCGCATGCTGTGAATGTATGCATGTGGCACTTTTTTCTGTATCTTCCTATTTTTTTTTTTTTTTTTTTCTTTAATTTGTTATATTTTTTTCCTATGTTTTCTTGCACGGTACATAAAATGGTGTTCCACTTTTATTGCAGCAAAAAAGGGATAACCGACACAACTGTACCAGCATGGTGCACCTACTCCTTTGTATATGTACACTTTTATACATATATGCACCAACAAACACGGCTGCTTTATCCAAGCAGTGAACTCCCCTTTTTGTGGTTCGATCTCGTTTGTTTATTTTCTTAACAAAAGCGAACGGGCTAAATTGCGCTCACTCATCAAGGTGAAAATTGTAGTTCCTTATTTCCTCGTCTAAATTCATGATAGTTCCGTGCATTGCTTCTACTGGTGTAGAGCCACCTGATCTATCGTTTTTATCCATGTAGGCAAAATTATATGCATACGATCCGTCAATGTGTGCGTTGTTTTGTACTGCTTCGTCAAATTTGGCATTCTTTATGGAATGCTTACTCATCTTCTGGGAGCCACTTTTGTATGCATTATTTACTGCATTTGAGTACACCTCATATTTATTATTTTTCTTACCAAAAATTCTACTCTTTCCCCCTGTTGACACATCATTTGCACTAATACTGTCTTGAACACATGAATTGCTAAGGCTGTTACTTCGAGAAAATTCATCATTATTGAAATACTGCCGTGTTCTCCTCTTGTCCTTTTTCCCATTGTCCACTTTTCCTTTAAATGTATACTTGCGCGACTTGTTCTCGCAACTTTCATTATTATCGACAGAACCTTTGGACTCTACGTCATATTCATTTTGCTCGTAGGACACATTATATTCTTTCCAATTGTATGTTAAATCGTATTCATTCTGGTAGGATATATGTGCCGAACTTTTACTTCTTTGTCCAAATTTGTCCCTGCTTAATTTCGTTAAAGACTTGTGCAAAGTCTTTTTATTATACAGATCACACTGCTCATTTGGAACAAGTGGATCATTTTCCCTTAATGCATTGTTCTTGTTATTTAATTCATCACTGTCACAAGGGCTCTTATGAATATCTTCTTTGGTTCTTCTTTTATAGCCTATTTCATGCCTATATCCTTTTGTCTCCACCTTAACTTCGCGCTCTTGCCCTGGTATACATATACTTCTGTAATTCGCACCAATTCTTTGCCTGTCCAAATTTGCGTTATTGGAATATATGTTGTTGTGAATTATTTTATATTTGTTAAATTTGTAAACACTACCGGACTCCTCAGAATAGCTACATGAGTCAGAAGAGGAATCTTTACAGATAGAACGGTCATCAAATTCTATGCCATGGTTGCACTCTTTAATTTTCATAACATCATGTACATTTTCATAAATGGCCTTTTCATTCATAGTAATGATATGATCTTCACCAGGTATATCTTTACCGTGGCCATTCATTTGGTGTGCGCATTTATAAATGTTCCTTAAGTCGCTCATGTATTTTACGAAGTCGTACCAGTCTTCTTTGTTCACTCTGAAAAGGATCATAAAAAAAAAGTATATTATATATTGAAACGTAACAGGTGACGCACAAGTTACACGGGGGTGCATTTGTTCGTAGTATAATGAAAGTGCTAACGAGGCATGGTGCAAGCCCAATATAGCACATGTGCAACGTGGCTGACTGGCTGATCCCTTGTTCTTACTTAAACTTGGATAACAAGTCGGGGGGCTTCCTCTTAAACCTATAAGACTTAACTTCAATCATTTCTTCAAGCATTTGTATTTATTATAGGATGAATAAAGCGTGTGTACGTTTCACTTGGCTGAGTTCCCTACTAATATTTTTAATAAACAGTAAGTTGCGCAGAAAAAGAAACACCTCACGGAACAAGAACTGGCAACTGTATAACATGTGTAGTGAATTAATTCAATTTTGTTATGCTTACATGGGAAAAAACTTGCGCGCACTTATAATGTGTTACAGAAATGTGCTTCTCGTGCAGTGTGACTATGCCGCCAAAAATGTGTACATGCAACGGTACATATATATATATATTCATGCGGACTCGTACGCAAGCGCAGCTTTTTATGTTTATGCTTGAAAAAAAAAAAATTTTTTTTGAATAAGAATAATGGATGCAGATGTTAACATATGCAAATTGCATTTGACCAAGGAAGAACAAAACATTTACTTAAGCACTTTGAAAAGAATAACACAGAGCGCAATTATATGTACACCCGACAATTTAAGCATACTGAGAACAAGTCCAAACTTAAATTTCATTCCTCTGAATAGATTATGCTTACGCGCAGAAATTCATGTGTTCACTTAACATATGTACCCATTTAGCTTAATTATTTTCATTTTTAATTCAACATTATTATGAATGCGATAAGTCTCCCACATGAAAAAAATTCCCCTCTCTGTGAACTTGTGTATATTAAAAATAATTAATAAAAAGAAGAAAAACAATGATTATTTGTTCATCACGTGGATACCATAACATACCTTTCTGTTTTTCCACATCCTTGAAATGATAAGGAGGTTATTTTTGCCATACTTTTCCAAAGATAAAGGCCCCCCAAGAATAAGATGCCAAATAAACGGTGTAAAAAGGAAAAGATTTTTCAAAATTGTTGTGGCAAATCAAAAAGATAAGAAAAATGGAAAACACATCGAAGTCTTAGGCACATATGTAAATAAGAATAATATAAGGGAGAAATTAAACACGTACAACATTGGCAACCCGAATAATGATTACTATTATAACAATGTTGAAAATATTAAGGAAATTAGACTAAGGTTTAATAGAGTTAAATTTTGGCTAGCAGCAAACTGTAACTTCAGTGATCACATGAAATACGTCTTAAGCTTATGTAAAATAATACCACAGTACCCAGTAAAATATAGCAGAAGGTGTTCCGATAAATATTACTACAAGTATAACGAAATTATAAATAAACATAAACTTATACAAGCAGAAAAAATCAATAATTTCCTGAAAACAGATTTAAATATACAATACCTGAATAACTTTGACAAAACAGAAGAGGAACAAAAGGAGCAGGATGATTATGTATACACTCCTGAAGAACTTACATATCTTAAAAAATTATCGAAAAATAGAAATTTAGACTTGGAGCATACCGACAAAATTAGGAAAATTATTCGGTAAAGACGGGCTACCTCCTCATATCACGTTATATTAACCAAAAATGTTAATACGAAGGAAGTCACAATGGACAGCAAAAAGACCACCCACAGGTGTGACCCTCAATTTGTTACGCACCTGTTCAATTTTCACAGAACGAATGAGATGTCCTATAATCGCAGTTCCTGTATGCCCTATCATCATAAAGAATTAAATTCTAATTGTTGCAAACATTTTCCCTAAATGCTTGTTGTCTTCATCCTATACCAGCATAATAATTTTTTAAACAACTTAGAAACATTTTTAAAATGTGAAACGTGTTATTTTCAAAGGATTATTCTGTTGAATATGTCCAATTTGTTATTTCTCCTCCTGTGCATGTACTGTTTGTATAAATATGCTTTGTCTTAGTTCGTCATGTACTATACAATCACACAAAAACCTACACTTGCGAAAGTGCAATTTGTCGGTAACCCATTCTTAATGGAAAAATGGAATATAATATGAAAATTATAACTCCCGTTTTTTCCATTTATGTAAAGATATATGTGCATATAATTTTTTTTTTTTTTTTTGTTTCCTGTAATTACACACATTTAACACTTCTTTTTTTTTTCCCCCTATTTTTACGAACTTAATAATTAACCGTTTCAATACAGATCGGACGCTTACCAATAGTTGTGCTTTATTATCGTGTTTACCGTTGCATACACTTAAATAAGCAGGTTACTTTTTAAATTGTAAATAAGAACAGAATTTTATGAACTCCATCCGGTTATAAGTAATTCAAAAAAGGGAAAATAAAAATAGCAAAAAGTGACACACCATAAACTGATCTAATTTGGTCAACTTTGTGGTAATTTTTTTTTTTTTTTTTTTTTGCGAAGTGGGAATTTTGGTATGTTACATGTATGAACAGTTGTTCATGAAAATGTGCGATATTCTGTTTTTCAAATGGTTGCCATACCTAATATAAACATATGGACAAAAGAGTAAATAAAACCATGACGTAACGATACATTGTTCTGCTAAATAGACAACTTTGTGTGGTATATAAATGTGCCACTTTAAGTTGTTTTTTAACTTATTTTCCACATTTGACGCATTTTTTTTTTGTTTTTTTTCTTTTTTTTTTGAAAACAGTTTAACACTCCTTTTTCACGTATACCCCAATTCGTTAAAAGAACACATCATATATGTGTCACATTTTAATAATAGCACCTGTGCTGAATTAAAGGATATTGTTTTGGTTACTGCCACATATGCGTGCGTGTAAGAGCAGCGCCTGTCTCAAATTAAATTTCGCACGAAAGAAAAACAAAAGTCACTGAAACTACACTTAATTCACACTGGCACCCACACATGAAACACACAAAATAGCACACACATATGTGTTGCCACGTGTTGGCCCCTTGCTTATAGCCTCCCAATTGGGAACAGGGGAAAAAGTAACACGACTAACACGGTTAACACAGCTGCGACAACTAATACAGTTGACTTAACTGGTACAAATTTTTCCCTCACCTGACAACATGGATAGCCTCAATAATAGCAACATTTTGCGTAACTATAAGAAAAGCGTCCAAGACATAAAAAGACTCAAAACTTCAGCATTTAATCTAAAACTGCACACAAAAACTGAAAACTACCACAATAAGAACCCTGCTAATGCGGTAAACAAAAACAATGAGAAGTACACAATCTCACACGATGAAAGCGAAATTTTTCCAAGTAGTAATCACTTTGATGCGAATTTATTCTCGGATAATAGACCTTTCTTATGCGATTCCAGAACGTACTACAGTAAGCACAGCATCGATGACAACCATGTCAAACGAGTAGCAGATATGGACAAGCAGGAAATAACCAATGGCAAGCACGAGAGTAATATTGTCAGCTTAAATAAAGCTCACCTAAATGTGGAAAATAAATTTGTCAGGAATAACAGTACAGCCAAGTATGGAATAAATCTAAACAAATCTCTCGACAAAATTAGCAAAATAAGAATTATGCAAAAGTTTAGAAGAAGCATTCACAGCCACGCCAATGAAAGGGATGAACACCGAAATGGTACCTTCGAACACATTAATCTATTCGACAAACATACTCAACATGACAGCATTAAAGCCAAAGCTAATAGTAATAACAACATGAAGTTCAAGGATTCGTATCACTATAGATTAGACAGCGCAAGCACATGCGATAGGGAAGAATGGACAAATAACAAAAAAGTTAACCACTACAAAAAAAACTCCTTCCATGATAACACCCAGAATTCAATTAGAAAATATCTAAATGAAGTACCGCCACAGAATGGAAGAGACATCAATTCTAATTGTCCCTCAAGTAATCAAATTAGAAGCAAGCCAACGGTTATTGCCAGTAATATCATTTCCCTCAGCACAGAACATACAGCCATATTTAACGGTAAAAAAAAATTTCCACAGTACTTACACCCTATGAATCATTCTGAAAAAGTAAAAAATGTAAGCACCTCTCATTTGAATAACAACGACGATTGTGACAGTTGTAATTATGTCAACATTAAAATGGGAAACAACCCCCCTGATGGTATTTCTTTCCAAAAAAGTAACTTCCCCCCAAAAAAAGACCTCAACTTTGGCATCAATAAACGGATGGAACACCTGAACCTTTCACATTATTTCAGTAACCACGTACAGGGGGGAAAAAGCGTGAACCAAGAACACAGCCTACCTCAGGACACACAAAGGAAAGATGAGCTAATTCATAATAAAGGTGCCAACTGGAATGATACAGTTATGCAATTCATGAATGAGTATATGGAAAAAAAACAGTATCTTCAAAATTTAGAAAAATTTAATGACGGCCTGAAGAATAATCCTTCCGGAAACGCAAACGCCCTTATTAGCAATTTCAACTTGAGACATTCATTTGATATGAGCATAAACAGCAATGTGCTAAAAAATAATAAATACACAAACAATAATTATTTTAAAAAAACTGTACAGAACAAAAACTCGAAATCAAAGCTGTACGAACATTACGTAGACTTTGAGAAGGAATTTAGGGGTAAAACGGATGTGCAAAATTTTATAAAAAAAACGAATGAACAAGCTGCAGTTTTATGTGCTGCAAATAAATATGATGAACAACTGCATCCACATTATCATTGTAGTAACAATAATACGAGTGCAGAACGCACACTTAGCAGTGTGCATGAGAAAAAGGGTGTTGTAAAGAGTGAACCACTAAAAGCATGTGGTAACGCTTGCAAAAAACAAGAAATTAAAGACGCCAGTTCACACATCATTAATATTCCCCTAAATTTTAAATTAAAAAAAAAAAAAATTATAAATTATAAAAATATTATTCAAGATTCATCTAGTAAAAAACAGCATAATTACACAAACGCATTGTCAACTCAGCGTTACAGAAATTTTTTGAATATAGAAAAAGAACAAAAACAGCAGAAACAACAAAATACATATTTTAACGATAAAGCAGAAATTTTCAATGAACATGAATTTCTCAGTTCCTTTTTAAAAACGGATCTTCATGATGAGCAATGTATGCATGTTGAAAAATTATTTAATTCAGATGTGGACGACACGATGAGCAACCAAAGGAGGGAACAAGCTAAGCAGCAAGGGGAGAATAAAATGCACGGAAAAAGTGATCATGCTGATCATAATGCACACATTGCTAGCGCACAACTTACTGAAAATATCAACCACATAGAGAAGCAACGACTACATAATTGCACATCCAATTTGAGTACCCACATAGGACCTTGCGGCCAAGGGATTCATGTGAAAGAACCACTGCACGAACAGCAGCCTGGACAAGTGGCAGGATTAAAAGAGACAAATGCAGATCATGAAAATGAAGAACAAGAATCATGCTCAACAGTACCAGAATTGACACAAAATGTTATGAAAACTGGAAATGAAGACGAAGATCGCAAAAACGGTAATATAGAAAGGGCTGATTTTTCCGCTAGAAATATTGTGGAAACACAAAGTTTGAATGAACAAAATGGCCCCCGCCAGATAGAACAACGAACTGTAAAGCCGGCCATTTTTGAAAAGGAAACAAAGGAAGAAGAATGCCTAGAAGACAAAAATCAAACATGCAAAGGCAGTGATACAGCAGAAGATAAACAAGAAGAAGTGGACATACGTATTAATTGGGAATTTCCTAACAACATGTATAGTAGCAACACAGATAATGAGGCCTCCTTAAAGAGTAGTGCAAGAAGGGCCGACCAGGAAGCACACTCAGTAGGCATATCAAGCAGCATTCAGAATGATGGCACGTCTCAAAGTACAATAAGCAAATTTTTGAAAGACGAAAATATGGACAAACAGGATTCACACGAACATGGCCCGGGGACAAGCGAACAAGATGTTGAAATGGGCATTGAAAAAGGATACTATTGTGCACAATGTTATCACACCAACGGGGGGAACAAATATGCGAACATCGAAGGAGGTACAATTTATGAAGACAAAAAAAGACGAAACCTGGATCTACAACAGGAAGCACAAATCACCACAAAGGAGGAACAAGAAGAAGAAACAAAAAATAAAAAAAAAAAAGAAAACGTACCAGGGGAATGCTTCAATAACATATCTGAGCATAAAGCTAGCACAACAGAAGATGAAGCAGCAAACAGCGAAATATGCAAAAAGGATCAAAAAAGGATCATTAGCGATGATATTACGAAGGGTGAGACTGACAAATCGAACTCCTTAACTAGCCACGACGATGTCGAACATTTCAATGCTCCCACAAAAGCAGACGCAAAAGAAGAAGTAAGTGCTATCATTTTTAAGCAGCAAAATAACAGAAACATAGTTGCCTTGTTAAATGAAAAAATTGAAGCAGAGGAGCAAGAATTAACGCTGGAATGTATTCGCACCATATTGCAAACACAATGTACAGAAGAAGCAACAAATGAAAAAAAGGGAAAAAAGAAAACAACACACAATGGTTACACCATGCAGGATGAAACTGCTATAAGAACAACCAACAACAACGATTGCGTACGTGTTCTGGATCAAGAAAAACTAGAGCGTTGCAACAATCAGCAGAAAAAATCTCCGAATATGCATGAAAACAAAGAACATGATGTTTTGACGCATACACAGGAAACGCAAGCGGAACCAAATGGTGATGGCAAGGAACCAAAATGTGTCGAACTTGAAAATGAAAATATGTACAATGGGAACAACACCGAAGAGTTTAAACAAAAAATGATTTTGAATGAATGCGAAAAAGGTGATCAGGCTGAAAGCGGATATAATGCATGCATAGGTGAAACTTTGGATGAAACAATTCCTTGTGGAAATAAGACAATTGGAGAACAGTATAAAAATGCAAAAGACAGCGCAATGAATTGTGGAAAGTGCAAAGAAAGTAATAATGACCATTCTGAAAAGGGCATCCCAATCAGTAGTATCGCCCCCGAAGAGGATGACGAAAGCAGCAACAATCAACGTGTAAGTACAAATGGTGACATGGGAGAATGTAAAACTTCCAAAAGAACGTACACCGAGAGCTGGCATAATAGTGTAACCCCAAATGGTTACGCTTTTGCTAAACCAGAATTCAATGAAAAGAATATATATTCCCCTGCTCATATGCTGAATGATGATAACGTTAACACGGAGATTCCTCATATAGATTCTAACAAAGTAACAAGGGGAGAAACAATAACAGGCTGTAGTCAGCTTTGCATAGAAATAAACAAGCATGAGTTATTTAAGCAATTACACATCAAAGAAAATCGATTACGTCACATTAACTGCCTGTATCACTCATTCGACTACGATAAGGGAACAGTTAGCAAGGAAAGAGGAAATGGACCAGAATATGACAGACAAAGTGAGCAACAAAATGCATCACACAATGAACGAAAGAACGAAATTAGCACGTGCAGTACTAGCGGCACTAAAAAGGACAGAACAGAAAGATATGCTCACATAACCCACTTTGAAGAAAAGCTGAGGCGAATTTTTAACCCAGCACAAGACCAAAATGGAGTAGTTCCCCAGAGAAGTAATAACATGCAAACCACAAGGAATGCCACTAATGAGCCAATAAATGAAAAAATAGATAACGCAATGGAAGGGAATAAATATAGTCACTCTAACATATTGCTCGCACAAGAAAAAGGTTGCGCAACTCTCCAGAACGACCCAATTCTCCTAGATACAGAAACTGAAATGGTGAAGGAGGAATATATTCAAATGGAAGATAAGCATTCTTCAGTCTCCGATGCGAAGGCTAAAGACCACCTCATTGACCACAGAGTTATCCACAGCACTGATGGTACTGATGACGAGAATGATGACGACACTGATGATGACGCTGATGAGAACGTGGAAGAAACAAACATTTTGTACGAAGACATTAAAAGAAACCTATGGCTGCAAAATACCAATCTTTCCCAAAATACAGTACAATACATCCAAGTCGAATCGGTGAAATGCATCATGTTGTTTTGCTATCTGCACAAAATAAAATATTTCCAAGGTATGCACGATATGATAATAAGTCTGTTCTATTTAAACCTTCAACCCTACGAAATTCTCTGCGTATTTGAAAACATACTATATTATTATGCCCCCTATATGTTCCAACAACATAGTTGCATGTATAGCTCTCCAGGAATTAACGCAAGCATACAGACAGACACGATCAGCTGTGCCTTATCAAACATAACTATGCAAATATGTAACACTAATGGAAAGTTATTTCGCCTTCTGTTTCAATATTTCTTCCCATACGTTAGTTATTACGTCGATGCGGCAGTTAGCGATACGTGGCCATCATTATTTTTCCTTAACCTCATCTTCAGCAAATTCGATAATGTGTTCTGCTTGCTATACATATGGGTGCGATTAATACAGATGAAAAATCAAACGAGTGAAGTCACTTGTGATTTTATTCTTTTCATATTATCCTTCTGCATGCACAAATTGAGGATTATCAAAAGAGAATTTTACGAAAAAAGAGGTCTAATTACTATGACTACGAATTCCCCATGTGCGCTGTCATGGGAGGACAAAAAAAGGGATGATAAGTATACACAAGAACAGGCCGCAAAATGCAGTCATAAAGTAATACAACAAATACATGCGCATGAAATCAATAGCAAAAAGGCTGAACATAATGGGGAAGACGAAAGGCAGGCAATACATGAGGAAAGCGGCACACAGGAAGACAACAAAAGTGATAATGAAATTCACCATCCGATACAGACAAAGAGAAAATATACTCAAAAAGAGGATGAAAAAGCAAAAGAAGTTATTCGAAAAATAAAATTATCCACGTACAGCTCAGAAATGTTCTCTCTCTTTTTTGAATTCAGTTCATCTTTTGATGATCATTTTGGGGATAAATACAAAATACACATAGATTACATAATAAATGATATCCCCAAAATTAGAGATATTGTGCCTCCGAGCTTTTTACAGTTCCTTACGAAATATAATTCGGTATACCAGAAAAAGAAAAAGAACAAGACCAGCAACAGCTTCAAAAACCTCTACGGGTACACCAAAAACCAAAAATTATCAGACAGCCTCACACTTCCCGAGGATGACCATTTGTGCCTACATATAAAATTGTCAGATTTGTTGTTTATTCATAACAATGTAGAGGGATATTATTTTGTTTTTCTGCGATTAGTAAAGTGCCAAATAATTTTGAGCAATTTGATATTAATTAATCGTGGTAACTTAGTCATAGAGAATTTTGCCCGTTTTAAAAATGTAGAGGAATTTGTCAAGCATAAGAAAAAAATACCTATATCCAACAAGTGCAGAAGAGCAATGTATATCGTGCTTGTATGTTCCCAAGAAAATAATGAGAAATTGAAAGATTGGGACATCAACGTGAACGATAGATATTTGCATGAACACAATACGCACACTGCAAGCAACGAAATAAATGGATCCAAAAATGTATGTTCCAATAGAGTGTTTTTCAAAAGAAGCAACAGAAAAGAATACATGTGCAGCGAACATAATGGTGAATTGCCCGTAGATAGGGCCTACCTGAAAAACCTCATAACAACATTGGTAAAAAACAATTTTAAGCGTTTAGCTATATTGAAAGTACATCCAAAGGTGGTCAAAATAAGGAATAAGGAAAACATAACAGAAAAGGAGACAACAGATGGTAACGCACCCGTAAAAGAAAATAGCTTTTTCTTTCATATGTTCAACATAGTGAAAAAAAAAATATACACAAATATTACAAAAGATTCTGAGACGAATAAGAATACACCCCCACAAAGCAACGAACCTCAAAATAACCATACAAAATTCGCGTTAGAGCAAAATAATTCTAAAATGTTCAATGACAAGAGGATAAGAAAACGAATAAACTGTAGTAACAGAAAACCAGTTTTGTACTCAAATATTACGCATGAAAACAAAGATGAAATTCCCGCAAGAAAATTAAATAATGAGGTCCAAAATGGTTCATCAGGCATGATGAAAAATAAGGTAGACAATAAAATTCACATGTTCCCCTTCAAATTACGTAAACGTAATGAATCAAAGAGACTAGTACATGGCTTTAAGATCATTGGAAAGAGAATGAATTTATCCTCTAGATTATTTCCTAAGCCCTATGTCGACGCCTTTAACAAGCGACCAACTGTCAGGAAGCGCTATGTGCATAGAACACGCACGAAACAGAGACAGAAGAAAAGCCTTTTGCGCATTTTAAAAACAAGAGAACTAAATTTAGATAAAAACAAAGCACATAGCAATAACACTGCGTTGTACAACAAAACAGACGAAGAAGACAAAAGTGGCACCAAAATGCATATCTCCGGTACGAATTACAAGAAAAAAAACAGCTTTATTTTTATAAATAGGGCACAACTGGATGAGAATATTAAAGAAGGGGAAAGGAAAAATGCAAGAGAAGAAAAAAAAAAAAAAAAAAAACGACGTTCTGGAAGCTGTAAGATAACTTCTTAAACGATTTTTTATCAAAAGGCTTATCCCAAAAGGAGGAAATACAATCTTATGAGAAGAAATACGGCCACACATAAGTACACGAGAATGCCTGTAAAAGGATGCCCTCGAACGGTTGTGAATCGCATTACAGTTAGAACAAATGAAGAATGGAACAAAATGTATTCCTTCTATACGTAAACGTTGAGCCTGATTGCATGGTTAATGTGAGAAAGAGATGTAATATACTGTATCACCCACATGATCATTTAAGTGGTCACTTTATTGCTCCCCTTGTCGTGAAATGATTTGATAGAACGAATGCTCATCAGAGATACAATAACAAAACTGCAACAAATATACATGCGGAAAGGGGTGAAGTGCAACGCACTGGAACACTCACATAATAGTGTGTCCTGCTTCATTTTTTATGCCGAATGTTGCCCCTTTATTTTTTTGTTGTTTTTTGCAAGCAGCCTTGCCAATTTTTGAGCATTCAAGCCGAAGAAGCCTTAAATGTATAGAGGCAATAATGACGAATTTTGTCCTTAATCAACGGGGAATATATTTATTTTGCCCGTCCATCATTATTACATTACCGCATAAAATGTGTATCTGATTTATTATTTTTTACCCCCCCTTCACATGATGTAACTTCCGGATTGTAGATATTAATCATATTATTTTTTTTTGTAAATATAGCGTTTTTGAAGTGATTTTTAAAAAGAATGTCCACATATTATGGCTGCTAACCTTTGTATTAACATGCATCCATGTTAATTATGATTTCCGTTCCCTGTACAATAGTTTTTCTTTTCTTTTTTTTTTGTTTTCCTATGTCGTCTTAACATGTTCCCGCCCCCAAAACAAAGCTTAGCTATTATAACATATGTTAAAATACCGATACTTCTTCTACTGAAGGTATGACTAAAACACGGAAACGTGAAACATGATACAAATACATGGAGTAGCAGGTTAGTTAATTGCTTTGAAAAGAGTTGCGAAATGCGCAAATTCTGTTAACACCAAATGGTTTGCTCATTGGAATCAAAAAAAAAAAAAAAAATAAAAACAAAAACAAAAGGTGTGCATGATGAACGGTAAAGAACCGGTGTACAATAATGATCACTTGTATCCTCTCCTTCAATTACGTCTCACCGTGCAATAATTAATTATTAGGGAAAAAGCCCCAAAATGAACAATAAAACAAAAAACTTCTTATGTACAGACATGTACACATGTGAGCAAATAGTTGTATGCCTAGCATAATTGACTTTCCGGAAGAAAATTTCAAAAAACCCACTTCTTGAACTGCAAAAACTTAAACATAGAGATGGTTGAAAAGACAAAAGAAAAAAGAAACCACTGACAAGCATAATTAAAATGTGTTGTCTCGTCGGCGTAAAATTTGAAATACTCCCTTTTCTTTTTATGTATAAAATGTTCATCATATCGAAAAGGTTTTCCATTTGGAGCTGATATATTGGTTTCCTTCTTATCATTTTTGCCACCTGCACAGCCAGGACCCCTTTGTAACAAACGTTTTATTCGTTCTTGACTTTCCCGATCCATGTCATCTAACGTAACGCCATTTACTTTTTCCACATGAGAGTTCAGCAACTTGGTGCCTTCCTTATTGCAATTGGAATAATGATCCTTTATTATATCACTATTATAATCTTCGTGAACGATTATATCATATATATTGGCAATGAAAAAAGAGGAGCCTTCAAAATGTGCAACATTTGCATAGTGACAAATTTCTGCAATATCATAATAGTACAGATAATTGCTGTACACATGTTTGTTGGACAGGTTTTTTAATTTTCTAAAGGAACATTCGTATAGCTCACCAGGATCTAATACACCCCTTATTGTCACTACTTTGGGAATTTCCTTCTTTTTCTGTTCTAACATATCTCCACATATTAATCCCCTATTTACTAGTACACACTTGCCATTTTTTAAAAATATAGGACAAATTACGTAATAATATTTTTTTTTTTTATCATGTTCATACATTTTGGGTCCTACAAAAAATTCGTTAGTTGTATCCAACACTCCAGTTATCTGCACTTTCCTATATTTGTACTTTTCAATTATAAGTTTTTTCAATTCCTCTTCAGTTATACCTTTCGGAAAAACTTTTCTGCAAAACTGGGTTATGAAGTTTTCGTTCCTTATTCGATTCATCCAATCATGTACACTATGCATATTGTCCAAATCGACGGTTAATTTTATTTCCTCCTCATGCGCAATAATATCAGAATGTAATGCTTGTACATCTATCCCTTGTTCGTCCTTTTGTGGGATATCCTCTCTTCTGTTGTTAACACAGATTGACTTATCCCCTTTTGTAAACGCCTCATCTGGGCGTCCTTTTATCCTCTTATAAAATGATAATACCATGGGAAGTACATTCAACAAGTTAAAATTCCTCAGTAAATCTTCTTCCCCTTCGTGTTGCTGCAAAATTTGGTAATTCTTTTTCAAAGCTATATAATCATCAAACCATGGGAAATCCGAGTCAGTAATGTTTATGACTGGTTGGCTCAAATTGTGCATAATGTAATCAATCAGAAATTTCTTCTTCCCCATTTTTTTGTATTGCCAAAGTCCCATGAAAAAACAGAAGGAACAAATAAAAAACGAATAGAAAAAGAAAAAGACTCTTTCATTTTTTCTCAACCCGAATTTACTATTACGAACGCATCGAAAAATGGGGGATGATACTTTGTTCTTTATATCGATCAGCCTTATCATTGTGCTATTTTCACATTCTAAGGGTAAATAATATTGTCCTTCACTTTTTTTAATTAAATTTATTTCTTCTTCACTTGCTTTATAAAGCTTTTGACTTGGGTATTTAAAATGCGCCAACGAAATTTCCTTATCTTCATTTGTCACTATTCTGTTTTCATTAATATTTTTTTCCAAACTTTTTAATTCCTCATTTAATAGGTCTATTTGAACCTCGTGCAGGCGGAGTTGTTTTCTGGACACCGCTCCAAACGGGGATGTCCTCTTCCTGCATGTAACATTTTGTACCCTTTTTCCCTTCGCGACATGGCGATATTTGGCGCTTCTCCAAAATGGCGACAGGTGTTTTCTGCGCTCTTTCCTAAACACTCTATTGGCACACGTTCTGCTCACATGGTGTGATTCAAAAGCGGCGGATCGGGCACACTCTATATGCACTTCGCAAACAGCCCGTGTGTGCACAAAATTGGTGCTCTTCAACTTGTGAATTAATTCTTTTACATTCAGCGCATTATTTAAAAAAGGCATTATATTATACGGACTCGGAAGCAAAAGTTGGGAATTGTGACAAATGCGCAAGGGGTATAGATGTGTTCCCTGCGTGTGCGCAGCTTCTGATGTACGTTACACATGCGCGGTTCGTATACCAGTTATTCATGCGAGATGTATATTATGCACATTCGTCGCGCTTGCCAGGAGCCAACACGTCCATGGATCATTTCCTGGTGAAATCGTTAAACTTACTCCTCACCTCATTGTATATTTCGTACGTTTTTATCGCAAACCTGTGAAATGTTTCGCTTCTTAACAAAAAAGATTTTATTTTCTCTTCAATTAATTTACCACCGATATCGTTAAAGAAAAATGGGAACCTTTTCATGATGCACGAGGGGGAAAAAACGAGAAATGTTGCAAAATGAAGTTTCGCATACACGATGCCACAAGATGAACTCAGCGAAATGAAGGAACTGTTTATACTATAAATGGAGCTTCAAATTTTTGTAAATTTGAAACAAAAAAAAATCGCGCTCTTTGATTTGAACAACATTAACATTATGTTGTTAAACTCAAGGAAAAATTAGTTGATGTTTTTCTCATTTTAAATGAATTTCGTGTTAACGTATAAATGAAAAATATGAGATTTCCCCAGTTAAACGCATTTGTTATATTTTACGCGCAACTTTTTTTTTTTTTTTTTTTTTTTTGTTACGCGTATGACGGAAATACGCATAATAGGATTTACATATTCATGTGCATATAATGGCATGCCAAAATGCACCCTACGCACTTTAAGGTCGCATGATTAATTTAAGCAATTAACTCTGCCCATTGCAACACAACACAAGTCTGCAACTCTTGCCAAAAATAACAATATGTGCCTTTCTGCGCAAAAAAAAAAAAAAAAATTTTTATTTTTCTTGGCATCAAATAATGTGGTAGCAAAAGTAAACACTTCAATTTTTGTTGCAAAAAATGTATGTGAACTTTGCGTTTTGTATTTATTTATTTTTTTTTTTTTAAACACATTTGTCATTTTGTATAATCTTTGCATTTACCATATATGGTTCATCTCTTATACACCAACTTTTTAGACAATCGCATATTTCCCCTAATTTGCGCAATTTTAATTGTGTCCATAAATAAGTTATGTATACTTGTGTAAACATTCACGTACACATTTGCACATTAAAAAAAAATACGTTCCTGTGTATCTCTCATTTCTGCAAATTTTTGAACATGTGTGCTTAATTTTTTGAATTGTTCCACCTTGGCGTGAAATTTCAAATTCTCTCGTTTTCCGCGCCAACCAATACACTATGACCAATCGGCAGTTTTTTCTGTATGCTCAAAAATAAGGCCAATGCGCACGCACGTGTATGTAACTTCCGTCTTAATGATGTTCAATTTTTTTGTGTGATTATGCCGCCGTTTTAAGGGTACTATAAAACATTCACCCCTGTTTTGATGGATTACTTTCTTCGCAACTCCCCGCCCTTTTTTTTAAGAGCAAAAATACAAAATGGAAAATAAAAAAATCGCACTGGCAACAATTAACGATATCGAAACGGACAAAAATGTAGACGCGCTAAGTATGATCACAAAAATCGACCTCAAATTAACGAATGGGAAAAATGGCAATTCCACAAAAATAAAAAATATCAACTTTGAGGACTCACTAAGAATGAATGACGAACAAATAAAAGTAAAGGAAGCTGTCTTCATCCTACACAATATGGAAAATTTCAATTATTCAATTAGTTACACCGAAGTTCAAGACATAAGAAATGATTTAAGACTGTTTGCCATTAACAACTATCATGAGAAGAAGTACACAGATTGTTTGATACAATCTATTCACTCATACATGATAGCAAAAAAATATTATTCGAAGTATTTTGGCTTCTACATCACGGGAGACATGAGCACAGAGTTAATTTTAATTTGCAAGTGCTACGTATTAGTGGAAAAATTTACCGAAGGAAAAAAATATTTACATGAATTAAAATTTTTAATTGATAATACCCTCTTTTATATACACAATAAGGGGATCCTTGATGACGACCAACAGAAGAAGGTAGAACAGGTCAACAATACGACTAGGGTCAAAAATTTAGATTCAAACTATGAAGAACCAGTCATTCTCTGTGGAACTGAAGTTTTGTCAAACATACTCTACATGTTTGCAGATCTATTAAGTTTATATAAACAAAATGAAGAAGCTGAAAGCTACTACTTGAAATATCTCTTTATGGTAGAAAAATGTTTCAAGGCGGAGAGTCTAAATTATAGTGATGCGCTAAATGATGTTTGCTCCTACTATATAAAAATTAGGGATTACTCTAAAGCTTTACCACTTTGTGAACAGATTCTCGACATTAGAAAAAAATTCTTCGGTGATTACAATTCCGAAAACCCAAATGAAGTAATTGCTGACTGTTATTGCAACTGGGGCCTGCTGCTTCGATTATCAGGAAGCACCATGGAATCCTTACACAAGTACCTAATCGCAGTTGATATGAGAATGAGAATCCATAAAACAAGACAAACTATCCAAGTGCAGGACATTCTACTTTCCTTTGGCATCCTCATGCAACAACTAAACAACTTTAGCATGTCCCTACAGCTGTACAAGGAAGTTTATTCCTTTTACAAAAGTTACTACGGCCCAGATGATATGAACACGAAAGTAGTCTTCAAATTAATTGAAGAATTAGAAAAGGATATCATGAAACAAAACACCAAGGCCAAAAAACAAGGCACCAGCCACTATGTGCAAAATTGCTTGGCAAGCACGAGTAACAAACTCAGTAGAGAAAATAAAGTGGAAAAACAGTGGAAGGGCTTTAACACCAAATTGCACAATATGTCCAAAAAGTCAGACGTGGACCCAAACCTCATTGAGGATCTAATCAATGAACAAGTTTTAATCAACACGAGAAACATGCCCTCTAAAAATTTAAATAATAAAAAAACTTTTATATCAATGGAAGGAAAATTAAAATATAATGATTTAAACTACTCGAGTATTGATGCATATAAACACATGCAATCAAATAAACAATTCGAAATTTTTAAGAGCTCATTTTTTACTATTTCTTCCATTAACAGAATTAAATCTTTATATGCTGACTCATGGAAAAGTACCCTAATTCCGTCTACTTACATATTACCATTTGTTGAAACCAAATTAGTTGACAATAATTTGGTGAAATATGCCCAGTGCAAGGATTTTCAAAATGCTATTATTTACAAGAGAAAAATTCTACCCATAGTTAATATACCCCTAATCGAAAGAGGATACGTCAAATTGGAAAACGATGAACCGATTATGATTTGCAACGATGATGCCAAGGTTCTACTTAGCGAATGGAACATTAAAGAACCATTTGTAGATTCCAAGGGAAAAGTAATTAGCAAATATGAAGGACTAGACAACGAATTTAATATGTTCATACCCATTTTAGATGAAAATAATGAAGTTATGCTTGGTTTTTACAACAACCCTTTGCTTGTGCCAAACCCTGCCATACATCATTGCCTTATTTTGGGAGACCCATACTATTTTCACAGATACAATCAAGTTAATAATTTGTACTCCTTCGATAATTTAAACATGTTAAATAAGAAACTTTTCAACAAAAAATTCTTTGGATCCGCTAAGAAAAGTCGTGTCAACTTTAATGCAAATAATAACAATTTACATGATTCTACGAAATATGAGAAAATAAGAATTGGGACCATGGAACCCATGGCATCCAAGGCCAGAAATAGCTCTTTCCGAGTTGCCCGGAAAAAAAGCATGGGAGAAGAAAGCAGCACAAATGGAGAAGCCATGAATACAGGGGGAGACGATAAGCCGGATGAAATGCTGCACAGAAGCATTTCCAAGTATCACGTGAACGGAAAAAAATTAGTAAACGAAAACTCGGGAGCGAAATCGAGGAAGGATGAACCAGACGGGGAATCATGGAAGGAGGACAAAAAAGGGGAAACAGGCGAACAAATGAGTGAACTACAAAAAGACGATATGGACGACAAAAATGATTCAAGAACAGAATCACTCAGGCATTCGCGCAGGGAAACCCTGAGCCAGACGCAGGACCAACCAAGGAGCAGTGCCCAAAGCGAACTTGATGAACTGAACAAACTCATGAAGAAAATGATGTCTAAAGAGGAAAGACAAGTCAAAAAAACATCATACATATTTGGTCATCATAAAGAAATACCAAAAAAAAAAGTACCAATTAAGAAAGTGCACATTCTAAAAAGCAAAAATAATAAGTCCTCCACCGCATTTTCAAAAGAAAAGTATGCATTAAAGAATACTGGAAAATTGAGCAATTTATTTTCAAGGCCTACAGAAAAAATAAAGCTAATTGGGTATAGCAATTCGAACCAACAAGATAAGTTAGAAAAAACGTTAAGACAAATTAGATTAAATAAGGAACCCATCCTGAAGGCATCCATTGATCATAATATCAGAATGGAGCTTCAAAGTAACATGAACAGCATGGAACAACACGACATAGACAATTTGAGGAGAGAAATATATTATGATAATGAACAGTTTAATAGTCACAGCAATTCGGATTATTCCTCGTCAGGCAATGACAGCGAAAGACTGTCAAACTATAGGGAATATCAAAAATACAAAAGGAAGGAAAGAAAATCCTCAACCAAGCTTTCTAGGGAAAGTACTAGTATTGGCGCAGAGAGCAACAACTCTCTTAACGAAAGTGACGATCATTTGGAAAGTTCCAGTGATTTCACCCGAGGTAGTAGTAACCAAAGTTGCAGCCACAGAAAGAGGAGTCATTACCGTAGGACATTGTACATGCAGGATTGCGAAAATGATGACCATGAAGACATTATCAATATATGTAAAATTCTTGATGTTAACCAGTCATACGAAAGTTCAAGTAAGTACTCTAATACGAATTCGATAACAGGTAAAAGAGAAAGTCAGGAACAAAGCACATCAGGTTATGGAAACAACTATAAGAATAATAGATCGGGACAACGAAACGACAGAAGTCATAGCCCCTTCATATCTGAGAAGAACGACGATAGTGAATTGTTCTCCTCTAACCGCAGCGACAAGTCGAATGGACACACAATACAGGAAAATGATGGTAAAAGAAGAAGTGCAAATTTGGATGACGATCCAAGCGAAGCGACAAACATCCTCAGTAAAAACAATGCATTCCACAACAAAGACAAAATAAACGACTTAAAAAATGTAAACAACAGTGACATTTTGTTTAAATTTAGATTTAATCACGAAGGTTCATTAAGTAACGAAAATTTATTTTCCGATAGCGACATAAGTGAGAGAGAACTATATGAAAATCCATATGGAAGTGTACAGGGCACCGCTACCAAGTGGAAATCGAATGGCAGTGAACCTACGGAAAATGAACACTCTTCAGAATATACATCTTTCAATAAGAAAAACAAACACGTAGGAAGCGCAACGAACGATGAGGATAATAAAATAAACACACACATTGAGCAGGGAAATTTATGTGTCAATAATGACAACAGGGGATTCCTTAAAAATAACGAATATAGTGGAGAAAACAGAACGGCAGAAGAAATTGTCCTCAGTGAGAACGAAGAATTTTATGAGCAAATATTTTTCAAAGAGGAACAGATAGATGCAGAAGATACAGGCATTACAGATAGGTCTGATACTGAAAAGAGTGATCATATGACATACATGAATGGTGAAGACCATTCAAATGTGGGTTACGAAAACGCTTACTTTAGGAAAATTTATCAGGATCACCAAACATACCAGCAAGATGAAGAAACATCTTCAGAGTTACAAAAAAACGAACTAGTTGGTATGGATAAAGAAAGCTTCACAGATAATTTATACTTGAGAAGTAACTCCATAGAAGAACTAGATTATAATTTGATTACCCAAAAGTACATAAGCAATAATACAGAAAAGGAACCCTCAAAGGAGGAGTCCTTAGACGCAAGGAGTAACATCCCAACTAATGTGTTAAATCACGAAATGGATAACACACCCAGCAACAAGTCGTACAAAAAACGAAAGGCGAAAAAATTGTTATCAAATAATAAACACTTGCTTGAGAATGAAGCAGATATATCGTTAAGCAATTACCATGATGCGTATTCAAGCAACAATGACAGTGTAAATATAGTGTATTACGTCCCGCATGATCATAACGACCACACTAAAAGGGAAAATACGAATGACAACCATGCTATAGGAACAGAATTATGCTCCAATTTCTCCAATAGCACTCTACACAGCATACATGCTGTGCACAGTGATAATAATGTCACCAAAGAATGTGACATAAATTATGATTACTCATTTTATTCAAGCGTAGGAAGCGATAATAATGCCAATATCATGAAGGGAAAGAAAAAAAAAACGGCAAACTTGTTACACCCCATTAAAGGAACAAAATTTTCTATGTTGCTTTCATTTTTCTCAAAAAAGAAGAAAAAAAAGAAATTCGCAAAATCGAGTACGTCCAGTGGTGAACCCGCCCCCAGCGAACATTGCCCAGTGAATGAAGAAGATAAAGTTACGCTTTTCCCAAGCAACCCCGTCACTGATATATCAATATACAAAAAAAACGAGAAGGATGTCCATGTAAGAAATAATTCCAACGTAAGGAACACAAAGAAAAAACACTTTTTTGTGTCAGAACCGCTACACGGTATGGACAAACCGAAATTCACCATCAAACCGAAGGGATTGGGGTTAAAAAAAATGTTACTGCTGAAAAAGGGAATTTTTAGCAAGAAAAATGCCATTGAGAAGAAGGAATCGCTGTCCAAGGACAACGAGGTGGGCTCGTTGGATGAAAAGGGGAATACAACCCTAGTTAATGAGTCACCCAAAGGAGATGCAGGCAGTGGTGAAGAGGGTAATGCGTCTGAAACGTTCAAATCGTCTGGAGCCTTCAAAGCCCCTGAACCATCTGGACAAGCAAACATTGAGGAAAAAGGGACCGAAGAAGCGAACGTCAAAGAAGACACCACCAAAGAAACAGAAAACAACGACATAACTGTGACTAAACAAAGCTCAAAAGAAAACACTAATGATGACGAACCAAAAGAAAAAAACAACGAAGCGTCTGAAAAGGTAGAAAATAAATTCCCGAAGAAAATCAACCCGCTAAATGTTCCCAAAAAAATAATGGTAAATAAAATAGTGCCAAAACTTGTCGTAAATAAACCAATTATTGTAAAAGACAACAGTACCATCAAAAAAAGCGTGAGCATTAAGTATGAAGTAAAAACAGTGAAAAAGATAAATGACAAGCTAGCATTCGATGTTTTGAGAAAAGTAAAATATTGCAAGATTGGATTTGAACCAGATGAGACCTTAGGAACCCTCCCCACAGTTCATTTACTAAATGAAGATAAAATTCTTCTAGCTATCGTCCCCTGGCAACTGGACCTATCTTCGTTTTCGTTAGCAAAATCATCAGTCGAAGAAGAAACTATCAAAAAAATAGGATTAATGCATAAAAAATTCGACCTATCCATTGAAGAAAGGAAAAATCAAGTATTAAATGAGAATCGCCTGTTAACAGGAGAAGGGCTAAAGGAACTCGGTTTCACTTCTACACCAACTAGTAAACCTGCGGTGCATAGCATAAATCTCCTCGAGGGAATAGATATGAATGTTCTAAAAAATGCCTACAAAATAGAGAAAAAAAGTGAACCAAAGGAAAAACCACCCACGTTGAAAAAGGAAGCACCCAAAATGGCGCCTAAAGAAAAAGGAGGCAAAAAAGGAGGACCCAAATTTATGAAGGGACCGCCAAAAGGCGTGAAAGGGGGACCTGTTATAGGAAAGGGAAAAGGTAAAATATCCATAATGAAGCAAGCAAAGGATGAAGGAAAAACAAAGAGATTTTTCTGGGAAGCCTTATTCGAAGATGACATTCCAGGAACGTTATTTGAAGACAAAAAAGAATTAATATCCAAGATAGCCATTGAAAAAGAAAGTGTAGAAAAATCATTTGCCAAAGCTGTTAGTAAAAAGGAAGAAGGAGGAGAACTCAAAATTAAAAAACCAAAAGTTATTCAACTATTGCCTGATTCGAAGCGAGAATACAATATGTCCATTGCCCTATCCAAATTTAATAATTACACATTCAAAGAAATAAGGGATGCTATCATGGATCTAAATCCAACAATACTTAACATAGACAACACAGAAGTTTTAATGCAGTATGTACCAACTCCAGAAGAATTCGAAATCGTTAAGGAGTACATACTCTCAAATGGTGACTTAAACCTAGTTGACAAGCCAGAACAGTATGTTGCAGCACTTATGGGAGTGCCACTACTAAAGCAGAGACTGGAGTCCCATTACTTCGCTCTATCCTTTAAAGAACATTACGAAAATACATTAACTCCCCTGGAAAATATACTAGAAGCATGCGAAGCGGTAAAAAATTCTACAAAACTGTTCACTATTCTGTTTACCATATTAAATGTAGGTAACACATTAAACTATGGAGATCCTCAAAGGGGAAATGCCTTTGGCTTTAAATTAACAACCTTGGCTAAGCTAAATGATATACGATCAACTACCAAGCCCGTTAAAACTCTTCTTCAATATATTTGCGAAATTATCTATCACAAGAGTGCAGACACTTTAGAAATTATTGAAGACTTGAGGTCCATAGAAAAGGTTACCAAAACGGACAAACAAATAATCGATTCTGTTTTGCAGAAACTAAAAATGGGATCTAATAAAATTAAAAATGTGTTAGATCTGGCTAAAAAGAATCCAGATGATCCATTATATGAAGCACTCAAGGAATTTTACTTTAGTGTAGAACCAAAAATTGAAGAGTTAGATACTTTTTACAATCAAACCCTTGCTGTGTTCAAAGAAATTGCTCTCTACTTGGGCTATAAAGAAAAAGAAGTTGGCAACATACAAGTACAAGATTTTTTTAAAGAATTGTGGAAGTTCATACAGTCAATTGAATTTAACAGAAAAACTATTAACGAGACAACTCTCAAGGAGCTCAAGAAAAAAGAAAAGGAATTAGAAAATGTCAAGAAGGGTGCTGTCCTCAGTAAAAAACAAAATTTCACCATCGTTAAGAAGCAAGAGAAGGAGCCAAAAACACACCTAGAAAAAAAAACATTCAAGATATTTTAATGTGAGTGTACGCAAAAAAAATGAGGTACAGTGTAACTGGTCTGCGCAAAGTGGGCGATACCCATATTATTCTTCCTGCCTCATCGCCAAAAAAGTGTTTTTCCTTCATTTTGGTTAATCGTATAGGTGCATGCTTGTTTTCCACATGTATATAATGTATGTGTGTGCATATCCTTTTTTGGAGGCCAATTTATCCGCCGTGTCCTCCGCGCACACCGATTTGTGCACCCCCTTTTTCGAACACGTTTCTGCTAAAATCCTTTCACCATAACAGATGAACCGCCTATTGTCACGCATGGTTAGAACAGGTTTAATTTTTGTTGTTTTTCCAATTTTGCTCCGATTTAGTTAAACAATGTAGACTTAAACAAACAGATGGCACAACGTTTGTAACTTAGTCACTTAAAAAAAAATGGCTCAAAGTGGCTTTGCTTCACAAATATACATCTTCTAACTTTTATAGAAAACAAAACAAAAAGAAAAAAAAAAAAAAATACATGCTTTACGACAAGCAACTGGGAGAAGAAAAAATACGAAAGACAATTCTTCATTGATAATTTTTCTTCAATCTCCACCTGTAAGGGGGGTGCAGTTATTAGTGCAACATATATAATACGCAACATGCCTGATCCTATATATACCCATGCTAATATGACTGAAACTAACCTCGTCGCGGCAGCGGTAATCGGCATGTCACCGTCTGGGCAGTCGTCCAGCACATTTACATGATCGCAGGCCCTTTTCACAATGGTGACATGATTAATGAAAAAATAAACGCATAAATGAGAATAGAAAAATGCTACGTGAGCAAAAATTCCGTCCCATGTAAAGAACGAAAGAAATTCACTCCGTCGATATTTCGACGTTATGGCATCTTGTTAGTTAATCAGGTTGTCCCCTCTCATATTACCACCAAGCCTGACATTTTAAGCTCCACTCCTCCAACATTTGAATAGTATGTCCGGAAAAATTCACTTGAAATTTACAGGGCCCATGATATAGCTCAGTCGGTTCGCACGATCGCAAAGTGCCCTTAAGTTTCTCCCATTTTTCTTTAAAGAAAATAGATAATTTGGATAATTATGATAAATCTCACTAATATATACGCGTGGATACACATGCATGTTTATTCCATTGCATACTTGTGACATTAACAAGATGGACAAAAAGAAACGCTTATTCGTGCCTCTTTTATTTTATTATTATTTTTTTTTTTTTATCGTATTGTCCTCTTTTAATACACTACCTGGACAATAGGAAGTAAAATTCCTCACACATTTTTTGCAGGGCCAAAATGTTTGGCATTGTTTAGACCACGTTTCTTTTGTCTTCTCTGTCATGTCTTTTATGTTGAGAGGTTCCCCAACACATGGGCCTAATTATCAAAAGGAGAGGGTAAAAAAAAAAAAAAAAATTATTCCTAAAATGGGTGAATAGGGAAAATAGGAAAACCTGAACTGCCCTTATAAGTAACTTATCCTCATCTTTAACCATCATAGGTGGAGGACGACGCGCATATCTCTTCGTCAATTTGGTGAACAGATCCGATATAGTTATAATCCTAAATGTGTTAATACGAGAGAGTTTTCCCTTAATTCATCGGAAAATATAACAATATGAAAGAAAAAAAAAAAAAAAAAAAAAATGGCAAGAGTTTCCTTAACATTTGGACATGGCGTATTGTAGTCCCTTTCACAAATAATATCCGGGTCAATAAATTCAGCCTCATTCACTAATAACGGGGGAAAATAAATTAGCAATGTAGAAAAGTGTCACGTGTAGAAGAAGCATTTCCATGTGTGTAGTGTGCTTAATTTTGAACGGGATAATTTCCTTCTAGTACATTCGACGTTGGGTGGCGGAATGGTTTTTAATTCCTTTAATAGCTGAAACGGTCACAATATAGGGGCATATATTATGGTGCTAATTCAGGTCTACGCTATGAAGAAGGGGCTACATGATTCTCTTCTCTGCAACGAGTGTGTGCACATATGCATACATACACATGCGTGTTCATTTTTAAGCTACCTCCCCCGCGAGGTTCGTGCTTGAGGGGCGTCCATTAATCGTCGTTGGTGATCTTGAAGAACTCGTGATAATGTCACCTAAAAATTGTGCGCGCTTCCGTTTTATGCTTTTCACCCATGAATAGATTTATATACGTGCATCCAGATACTCAGTAGCACGATCTGATTTGCTAAGTTGTCATATTTAGAAATGCCAAAATTCATTTCTACAATTTTGTACAAAAAAAAAAAAATGTTAGATTTTTTCTTTTTATAAAAAACCTGCACTCCCGCCTATGTTCTCTAACTCGGTGTCCGAAAACAGTTCACCTTTCTTCCGTGTACAATCGAACATTTTGGTATTAAAAAAAAAAAAAAAAAAAAGAATAAAAAAATACATTTAGGGCTAAAATGTAATCCTTGCAGTATTATCTTTTCTCTTAATTGCTCTTATCGAATGATCTAGGTAAAACATATTCACACATTTGCATAAATAGTGCTTCAAAGGAGTAAGTCATTTTCGTTGCATGGGATTTACGCATTCATAAAGGTAAATTTGTGCGCGGTACATAGATGTACCCCCTTTTTTCATGTGCATTCTTACAAACTTACTTTCTCATTTTCACACAAAGCTATCTCGAAAAAGAAAAAAAGAAAGAGGAATAATGGGAAAAGTTTATTCATTTTTAGTAACAACTTTGCTCTTTAACTATAGAATGACAAACTTATGTTCTATGTGTTAAATGTATCCAGGTACTCACATACATATGTCCTTATGCGCTTATGTGTACATGGACTGGGCACTCGTTTTCCAAGCCCCAAATGTGCAAATGAACGAATTCTAGCTTGTCGCACAGGCCTATTTCATTTCGCGCCAACATCACATCGTTCTTATGTACTAACTCGTAATAATAATATCCAGATTGAACACCTTAACCTGTAATTACACATTAACACTTTTTTTTTTTTTTTTCTTTTTTTTACAGTGTACAGCTTAACGCTTTTTCCTTTATTATTTTATTTATTTATTTTTATTTTTTTTAATGCGTTGTGTTCATATCAAAAAGGTCATGACAACAAAGATAAGCCTGGAACAGACAAGAATACAAAAATAGTAAATACAAATTGTAGTATACAAATTGTGAATAAAAAAAAAAAACGTAAACAATATGCTGACAAGGGGGAAGGCTATAGTAATCATTTTTATATTTTCTACAATTCTGTGGATATACAAATTTGATAAATATAAAAAATCAAAGAACCTCGTTAAATGGATACTCGTAAAAAACAAGAAAACACATTAAAAAGACAAATTATAAAAATATGAAAAAACATTCCATCTATGCTTTTCACGATAAGAAATTATTTACAAAAAAATTAACAAAAATGAAATGAAACAAATGAATTTTTTTTTTTTTTTTACAACTTACAGATTCCGCTCTATCTCATAGCTGCAATATCGATCTACGCAGTTATGTCCATATCTATAAGTCTATACAATTTTAATAGCGTGCCCAATGGTCAGGAAGATTTGCTAAATGTAATTTTACAAAAAAAAAAAAAAAAAAAAAGAACAAACTTCACAAATATTATGAGTCCGGTGTATAACACTTTATAACTACTTTTTTTGCATAATGTGTACCCTTGTAATATATTCTTTCACTTTCACAACATTTGTTGCAGGAGCTAAAGAACATCAAAAAGGAACTGGAGCAGAGAAAATTCACGTTTCGTTAAAAATGACAAAATTTGGGGGGATGGTAACTTCTTTCGACACAATTTGTTTCGTCAGTAGAGGATTTTATGAAGACATGGAACCGAACTGTGTGTCATTGAGGGGAGGTCTTCTCCTCTTCACTCTTTGTTCACTTCTGCGCCTCTGCCCTTTACAGCTTCACCCCTGTCCTCGAAAACATGCCCTTCAAGACGATATTCTTCGGCGAAAAGGACATGGGGAATGAGTGCAGTGACAGATTTAACTCCTCCCGCTCGCCCCTACTTTCCGTGGCACTAAACAACTTTTGCAAAACTTGAAATCTCAGGTTATTATAAAAGTGCATACACTTAAATGAAATTTTTGCGTTTTCGCTCTCGCATAATTTGGACAGCAAATTTACGAACGAATATATGTTCGGGATGGTTCTCCTCATTATTTTTTTCCCATACTTGTCGTACTTTTTCTTGTATATGGAGAAATCGTCGTACTGGCCCAATTCGCCCACATCCTGCATATCCCCCCCTTCTTCACCTCCATCGTCACAAGTATCCATTTTTCCATCTCTGGAAGAATCATGGATATTCAGGTGAACAGAGTCCTCATTCAAAACCTCTGCACCAGTCTCCGCAGAATGCGCTACATCGATGTGCTCCTTTTTTGATGTCTCACCCATCTCCTCTGCATACTGACCAATGCTGTAGTTCACGTGGGCGTAATACTCCCTATTGTAAATATAACCTTTAATATGATTAAGTATCATATCATTGTTAAAATCGAAAATGTGTTTCCTCAACTCTCTATATTTCGTGTAACAGCAGGAACAAGTGAGAAAGGGGATTCTTTCTTCCACGCAGGTTCTCAAAATGTAATCAGTTAATCCTCCACAGCAATGTAAACCGACTATCAATTTTATTTTATATTTCTTAAAGTCAAAATTTAATATCGATTCGTGCATAATTAACACGTTCTTAATTCTGTTTGCAAAAATTTTAATGAAACAACTGAAGAGTGAATTTACGTTAATGTCTAATATGATTACTAGGATGTTTTTAAACGCTAACGAAATGTGAATCCCCAAATCACCTTTTCCTCCCCCGACATCCAGGATGCAGTAATCGTAGGTCAAATTGTTTTCATCAACCGTGCTGTCCGTCAACTTGGTGTCACAGTAAATGTTGGTGTTTCTTCCCATTTCATGCGCTACATATTGCTTCTCTTCAAAGGTTACTCCATCAGCATGGTCATAATGCATTCCTGTATTCTCCTCATCCAACCTTTTACAATTCTTGTTCACGTCTCCACCCATTTTCGTACACTTGTCCACGTAGAACTCCCTAATGTCGTAAAACTGCACGTCACTCCATTTCGAATTTTCAAACAAGTTCACATTTTTTTCTCTCAAAAGTTGAGTACTTCTTCTTACCTTTTCTGTATTTTCCGCACTAACGAGTTTATCATTTTTCTCCATAAAAAGTTCCAAAAATTCTAAATAATTTTGAAAAAAGGTGTCGTTACTTTCTATATACTTGTTCACCAACGTGGACATGTAAAAAAAGATATCCTCCCCGCTAAACACCTTGACTTTTGAATTTCCTTTTTCTATTTCTTTGAGTAATATTTGTATGTGATTAATCATCCACTGTACTTGTGGCATCTTCTTATTGTTCATATAGGACGTTATATCTTTATTTTTTTTCTTTTTTTTTTTACTCCTCTTTTTCTTGTTCTGTTGTTGTTCTGTAGCATCTCCACTCGCCCTTGTATCCACTGCTACGTGGTCATTACTCTGATTTAGGTTCAAATCACACAGCATAATTCTGTGCATCCGTTTATCATCATTCAGTTCCATGTTGTACTTAAATTCGCTTGGATGTATTTCAAACAGTTTGGGAATTATGTCAATAATTTTTAAAATGAAAATTTCAAAATTATTCATTTTTTGATTACTTATACTTTCATAATTTTTATTTTTGTAGATAATGTTTCGTATGAATCTTCTTTTTGTGTCTTCCTTACTGTTATAAATGTGCCGAATGTCGCTTTCCTTCATTTGCAAACTTCTGCACACAGTTAGCACGGAAAAAAAACCTGCTTCGAATAATTTTAATAGTTCGTTGATATTGAACAATTCGTAGTTAACCTGAGGGGAAAGGGGTACATATACAGCTCTCATTAATTCCTCTAACGATGACGGACACGTGAGAGTAACACAATTGAATGGGCTTGCATACAAACAAGTGCACACTAACGGAGAGGAATGAACACAAAAAGGGAGGGGCTATTTTCTATGTGCACTGTTTCTTTTTGTTCTTCTTTTCCACTTTCCGTTCACACACAAAAATGCACGCACATATGTACACTTCTCCAAAGGTACACCTGTCCATTGGAACCTAAGCACACGTACAACTTTCTTGTTTTATTTTGTTGTTTTTTTTTTTTCGTACCTTGAGGAGGTAGGCTGAAAACACCAATATGGATTTCTCATTCGTGTTCGTTAAGGCAGGCAATCCTATAATGTACAACAGCGTATCCGTTTTTATGACCTTCCTTAAAATTTCATATTTTATATACTCATTCACTAACAATAGGGGGTCATTTTCCATGTTATCTGTTGAGTTATCATTTATGGGATTCCGTTCCTCAGTAGAAGTCTGCACATCATCATTCTTCTTCACATTCGCATAAAACTCCTTGCATAGCCGAACTGAGTGTTCGAACAAATCCTTATCAAGGCTCGCGTCCTTATCGTCCTTCTGTGTTGTGTAAATTCCCTTCAATAAATATTTTCTAAATGAATCAAACTTGTCTTCGTCCACGTAAAAGTCCTTGCTGATTACTAACTGAGTGTTCCTATCTTCTGATAAGGCTTCTTCATTAAATTTATTTTCTACTACGCAAAAGTGTGCACCCCAATTATTATCACCCGTACAGCGGCAACTATCTTCTCCTGTATCATGATCCCCCCCCACATCATTATACTTCAAAATGTGATATTTGTAGAATAAAACATTTTCCTTTCTATTTATTTTTCCATTCGAAATTGTGTCACAGAAAAGTAACAACTTTCCATGCTTCCTCACATTTTTCACCTTACAAATTAAGTGAACAAAATCTTTAAAATCATGTTTAACCCATTTGGAGAAGCCACCCAGAGCTTCAAAATGAGCCTTCTTTTCGTCGTATATATTTATTTCGTGTTCTATAATACCCATCATTGTATTCCTATCTTCACGCATCGTACGTCTTCTTGTTGGCGCTTGTGTAAATGCATACGTGGATACATGCAACAGCATGTACTACAAATGGCTAACTTCTGAGTTACACAGTAGCATCCATATTTTGGAAGCTCACAACAAAATGAAGTTCATTTCACTGGCCTAGAGGCATATGCACAGAAAAAAAAATTCAACTAAACTATTTTGCGGACGAAAAAAAGGAGGGAAATTATTCTAATTCGCAAATCTGCAAATTATGGCGCATAAATTCTGCCCTCAATCTATGTAGAGCGTTATGGGTATACATGTAAGGCTACATATACACAGAAACTTATCTGAACATTGTGGCATTCTCGCTTCAAAGCCTGCATATACCTTTTATGTTCACAAAACGGAAATGTACACCTACGCTTTATATCTGCAAAAATACCGCTGCGATAAAGGTGAAAACTTTTTCTTACCGTAACATTAATTATAAAGGGGTATGAAACACATAAATAAAATTGTATTATAAAAAAAAAATTGACAATTTTGACGGTAAAATTTTGATCCTTTTCTAGTAACGCTATGCAGCGTGTTTCTTCACCCAAAAAATACGTTCACGCAAAACAAACACATAATTACATGTTCACGTATGTACTACTTACACGCATATGATAATATGTACACGCATTTAGCACTGTGCCTTGGTATAAAACTACGTTCTGCTCATAATAGCAGACCAAGCAAAAAGCACAGCTCCACGAATTTATACAAAATTTCGTGATATAAAATTATAAAAAGTTGACTGGAACAAAGGAGGCCACTATGTTGATACATTTGTTGTGCCGCTTACCAAAAAAAACATTTTTAGATATATGGTGAAACATTTCCAGATAAGAAACATAACGGAAGAGGCATAAGAAAAAGCAACAAAAACAAAAAAAGCAGAAATAAAAATTTTCCCCCTTGTGACGAATGACCGTTTTGTTGCAAGATGAACTTCAGAAAACCTGATAACACCGCGGACCTAATTGACAGTCTAATAAATAGCGAAAATGGAAAAGTTCAAAAGTACATTCTGGAAAGAAAAAAGAAGGAACAGGAATTTCTGGAGAAGAAGGAAAACATTAAAAAGAAAACGTTGATGGCTCCAAAACTTAATCAAATGTTTGTTAAAAATAAAAATGATGATGACAAGTTAATCAGCGAAACAGTTGGTCTTAGAACCGTTCACGAGTATAAACAAATCAAGAGTGGCATTTATGGCAAGGAGAAGGACAGCCATCTTAGCAGAAAGACCAAGGACGACAAAGATAGTAAAAAAAAGAAACTCAAATTGTCTTTCTGCAGCGACGATGAGGACAACGATGAGGAGGAAGACGACGGTGAAGGGGATGGAGATGGTGACAGTAACCGTGGTGGAGATCGGGACAGTGGTGATAACGAACCGAACAATTACTCTGATGAGGGCGCTTCGCAAGAAGAAGACAAGGATGCCTCAGAAACCCCCCCGCATCAAAATAACCCGTCCACTGGGGGAAAAAGGAAAATACATGATTCGAGTAAAAACGGTTCAGACAAAAATGACGCAGACAAAAACCTGCAAAATAAGGACACGCACGCCAAGTACGACAAAAATAAGCCATTCAAGAAAATCAAGAAGGACCCAACTGTAGACACTTCCTTTTTAAAAGACAAGGAACGAGATGAACAAATAGAATTGCGCAAAAAGGAGTTAAGAGAATTATATTTCAAACTAGAAAATGAACAAAAAGAAAAAACTATTGAAATAACCTACTCATACTATGACGGTAGTGGACATCGGAGAAAAATATCAGTAAAGCAAAAAACGACGATAGGACAATTCATAAATAAATGTGTTGACAATTTAAAAAACGAATTTATTCATCTAAGATCAGCATCTTGTGAAACCCTAATGTTTGTGAAAGAAGATATTATTCTTCCGAATTATTTGACCTTTTATGAGTTAATTAAAAATAAAGCCCAGGGAAAAACGGGGCCATTGTTTGCCTTTGATGCGGTGGAAAATTTATACGGGATTACAGATATAAGAAGGGAAAAGACTGATGTAAGTGAAAAAAAAAAAAAAATACTATCCTCCAATGTATGCAGAAATGTGTACAATATGCATAAGAAAAAATGTGAACAGCAAATAGAAAAATGTGTTGCGATACACATTTCTTTAGAGCACACGCGCACAAGTACAAAAATAGGGAACAACAGAGCCTCCCATTTTTCATGTTGCTTTATTTCCCCCCTTTCAGACTCACGCAGGAAAATTAGTGGAAAAAAAGTGGTACGAAAAAAACAAGCACATTTTTCCCGCCTCCAAGTGGGAAATTTACAAACCCATGAAAAACTACTCGACAACCTACACAGATTTATTTAACCATTCTGGATAGGCTACTTACACATGTGTCATAAGACTCCTGCGCGTGATTATCATCATTACAACTACGATAATCATGACACATTTTTGCGATCATTTATGTGTTAACCGCTAAATTTTGGCTTCCCCTGCCATGCCTCTCTTTGTGGTTTCTCCTGTACGCTTCTTTAAGTACAGCTTTGCCTATATCTACATTTGCAAAAAAGTAAAAGCATTAGTCATTATTTGCATTTTGAATTTTTTGAACTGTTCATATTTGTCACACCATCTTTAAAGTGCACATTTTTGTTCTTTGCCCCACTGTAGTATGTTGCAGAGGGACAAATGGGACAAGTGCATTTTTTGCCATTTTCTTTACATGTGCGTGTTATTCCTTACCCGGGAATAGCTGCGAAAACGTTTGATGTGTTGCGTGCACATTTTGGTCAGACCCGCGGAGTCTATACAGAAATGTGTTAATATGTTTTTGTTCATAATTTTCATCGTACACAATTTTTTGTTTGTTAATTTCCCCTATTTTGTATTTTTCCCTGATTCTCTTGGCAACGCACTCTCGAATATACACCTGCAAAAATGGTGAACATGGGGTGTTTTGCGAACTTTTGGAGTGTTGGCATGTTTGCAGATATATTTTTACAGCTAGCGACACTCCTCTTAGATGGCGCAGAAGGTGTTTATGTCTAGGAGGAGGATTTCCTTTAAGGAAACCCGCTTCACAAAGATTTTTTGCGCATTTTGTGCACATTGCATATTGTGCACTTTCCACATGTTGCGTACAAAGTGCGGTTAAACTGGTTCCATTTGTGAAGGAGCCATGGGTAGAAAAAATTATGTCGCGGTAAAGCAAACACATTTCTTTTCATTTGTCCTAAATATTGTTAGGCTATTCTCTTTCCCCACGCAGTTTTTGTACTTATCGCTTATCTCTTTTTTTTTTTACATCTTTAAGGCATCTGAGGTCTCGCACCAAATCAGTGAACACACGTGTCATTTCTGTCCTAAAGGAAATATAATTTGGGTGGAATGAGTTCTTGTAAATATGCTCCGCCACCACGACAAACCTGTCAATGGGTGTTTTCTGAATTTCTACGTAGCCTGAGCAGGAAAAAATTGGAGAAGTAAAAATGTCACTCTTTTTTTTTTTGTTATTATCATTAGTTAGATTTTAAAAAAAAAATCATACAACGAACTATCACGTTAGCTCCCACGCTTCTGCTCATTTGAGCATTTACAAATGTTGCTTTTTTTTTCTTGTCTGTGCTCTCTTTTTATGGCCAAACCATTCTCAAACAGGCAGTTGTATATTTTGACATTCGACTCGTTCCTCCTTAAGCGAATTATGTGATTTATATTTTTCGTTATGAATAATAATTGCACGATCGTTTCGGCAATGAATGGGGATATCAGCACACATTGGTGACAAATGTAGTACATGTCTTTGGGAGGCACAACTTTGTGACACTTCTTCAGAATAAAAAGAAAAAAGAAATGGGTATATAGTTTATCAAATTGAGAAAAATAAAAAAAAAAAAAAAAACATTTCACTATTACGCTATTCTTATGTGTGATCAAATTTGTTTGTCTTTTCCCGATAGTGCTCACCTCAACATGGTAGTTGTCCAAGGCCATGTAGTCGGCGTCCTCCGTTTGCAACATAGACTGATCCCCCTCTGCATGGTAAAGATCCTCGCCCATGTTCTTTTTCAAATAGTAAAAGAAATAAAATTGACCCATGAATGGATGGGATGAGGGCCCTTCATTTGCATTTTCCTCTACCCCTTCATCCTTTATATTCACATACATAACGTAAAGAGAAAAATATAGGTACACATCCTTCAACATGAAATATAAAAAATAAAATAATATAAATGTGTACATAAAAACAGTAGCACAGGATAAAATTATTCTCAGACGTATGTGGTATGTCACTAATCGTATCTGCTCCAGTTGTATGTTAAAAAAAAATAAAAACATAAAAAGAAGATTCTCCAATGTGATGTCATACTTTCCTGTCTCGATGTACGGATTGAGAAACATAGAAAAAAAAATGAAGAAAAGTAGTGCGAAGGAGAAGCAAATGAGAAAACTCAAGTGATCATCCATGTGAATCACACACAAAAACAAAATGTTAATGAACAAATTTTTAACAATATAGTAATAATACTGTTCCTGTTTACATAAAAAGGTGTGAAATCCGTACACATATCTATACGTATAATTTCTCCTCATTTCTGCAGGTTTGGAATAAATAGACACAAAAAGGATCACATAGTACACGAAGCAAGCAATGAGAACGACTGGTACACTCATAAATTTAGAGGTCCTCAAATGCAAGTTGTCGTAGCATACCGTCGCGGTGTCATAATACGACCTCTTATAGTTAAAAAGGCCAATGCACATGTAGGAGGACAGAAAAATGAACATAATCATCGCGTTAGACACGTATAAAAAAATGTGCATGTATTGATAATAACATATTCGTATGGATCTCTTGATAAATTCTACAAGATCGTGATCGTAAAAAAATGTCATGTTAACATAATTTTGAAAAACGAAATTGTGCAAAAGTAGGGGATACAAATAGGTGTCCACGAACTTTCGGGCTACGTTCTTTGTACACCCCCGGCTTTGATTTTCACGGACCCAACCAGCCTCTTCCTCCCACGTGCAATCCTCCACCACGTTCAGGCCCCTATTTCGCAAATACAAAAAAATCAAATTGCATACCAAAGTGAAGCAAATAAAAATAAGGATACCCCCAAGTAGGACGATAATTTGTATGGAGTATATCTTCGAGCGATTTGATCCCACGTAGAGACAACCCAATTTAAAAAAGTGAATAAAATTCAAGTGAACAATTTTAATTATATCAAAGAAGACGTTGTGCAAATAAATGTTCAGAAGATAGTGAAGCTTTGCATCTCCACTGTGTAGTTGCGTGGATTCCTCTTTTGGCTCTCCCCTATCAAAGGTAAAATTCTCCCCCTCCGTTTCTGTCAAATCGTTTGAAAAACTTAGCAACAAAATGAGGGATACGTAAAAGATGAATTCGCGAAAGTAATGCAGGAAGTATATACTCCCCTTTTTGTAAACATCAACTTGATAAAAGTAAAGACTTACATTTATGCATTTAAATAAAACTAAAAAAAAGGCAAATGCCAGGATAACATAAACTGCCATTTGCAGGACGACAAATATAACGTGGAAGCACTTCCTACAGGTGGCATACTTTAAAAAAATGTTTTTGTCATAATTTTCCACACAATTATTACACATAAATCCTGCATTATTATCTGAACACCTGCCACAGGTATCCAAGCAGACATTCGGACTTTTGCAAAATAGATACAAATTATTCATAAAGGGATATATATTCATTTTGTTCTCTTTCACAACACACCTATCGAAGTAGTTAACAGTTATTTCATCTTTATGCTTAAAAAAGTCCTCCAAATTGTCTACGTACAGTTCCGTTAAACCACTTTTGCAATAAAAACGGTTGCCTAAGTCAGAACACATGTCACACCTATTCCCTACGTAATTTAAATAAAAGTCTCCATCACACGAACAGTCATAAACATATTTTGAAGACTTCTTATTGTTGAAGCTACCAGGGGGACAACTAAAACAGCTTTCAGAATTTCTGTAACTTGAGTAGGTGTCCTCTTCACACGGGTAGCATTTGCCATTCTTAAAATATTCCCCATAGTTGCAAAAAATGGAACTACTCAACAGACGCGGAAGTGACCAGCAGGTCAGGAAAACCAAACGTGCAAAGTTTCCTTTCATCGGGAGAACTGAATTTCGAAGTTGCTTTGCATAGCGCCACGCTCGTCAATTGTGTGAAAAAGACCAAAAAAGGGGCCAGGATAAAAAAAAAAGAAAATATAATAAAATTCGTCAAGAAATAGTTCTAAGGGGGGGATTATGCTGGTTGCAATTGTGTAAATGTTCCATTTTTTTTTTTTTTTTTTTTTTCCCTTTCACCCCATTATTATGTCCTATATCCATTGGTGCTACACAAATTTGGGAATAACTTCAAAAATGCACACTGCTTTTTTTGGCCTTTTTGGAAGTTGTCATTTTACATATCTCTATAAGAAAAAATAAACCAACATGGCAACCACTGACAGCATAACATTGCGGGGAAAAAAGCAAAAAAAAAAAAAAAAAAAAAAAAAAGGCACAGCACATCCTACAACGTAGTTCACCTTTTGCGGGATCCTCGCACCGCTCGAGGTCATCACAAATGCGCGTAACGTCATGTCGGAACATTTTAACATCACATGAATATGTATAGTACATACATTAATAGGCCATGCCCAACATCTCGTGAAAATTGCCCACTTGTTATTTCTTTCTCAACTTTTCCTCTTGTAAAATCACCAATTGACCACGCAAAAATTACACCTCATAAAGTTGCAGGTCCCCCACGTGACGCCGTTCCTATGGACCGTGGCCACTGAAGAGTGAATATGCCAACAATTACTTTCCTACGTTTTAATGGAAAAACTGGATCACAGTATAGAGAAGCATATTTGTGTGGCGTGAAAAGTCCTCCATTTGGCAAACGCACAACTGGAATGTTCGCTTAAGAACATTGAAAGGGAGGCACCACCACAACCAGCTGTAGGCCTCTTCTTCCTAACAAAATGGGCACCCCCGTTTTGCTGTGATAGTATGGCTCTCCCCTCCCACCCCATCACAAGATGATAAAGAAAGTCGCTGAAAGCCTGTGCGCTGATTGCTACACGCTAAGCAACGCCAGGGGAAATAAAAGGTGGACACAACACATACTGCCAAACAAAAGCATGCTTCGTTTGACAAAAATAAACTACTCTTTTGTTCAGAAAAATAAAAATGTCAACAAAAATATATACAATATGAACTGTATCGAATTGTACAGATACAGCTGCTTACTAGAAAGGGAAAATATTACCAATGTAATTATTTACAAACAGATTAACAAGAGAGTAGAAATGATTTATAAATTCTTAAACCCATCCAAGATTATCCTCTTAATCAAGTTATACATACAAAATGCCCACTTAAATACCTACCAAAGCACCTTTCATTGTCTTCTTGAAGTAGCAATAACAAAACTGAGCGAATTGCATCTCGAAGAAATTGTGAAATTGTACAACATAATTAGCAAAGTGGAAAATAACCAAAACGTCGTCTACTTATTTAAATATGTCAACAATCATTTAATTAATAATTACACATTCATCGATGTGAAGTCCTTTTCACTCATCCTAAATTCACATGCAAAATTGAAAATTAAAGATATGAAATTGATTAACAAATTCTTGCATATCATAGTTCAAAAGGGATTGCAGATCGATATTGTGAATTATTCCCTCCTTTTTAACGCATTCTACAAACTAAGATTGATAGGTAATGACTATGTCAACCATGTTGTGCGGCAGTTCTTGAGTGAAATTGATGCGTGGAGGCAAAGGGAGCATGGCCCTTCCCAGGGGAAAAAACAAAAACATGGAGAACATTTCATCACACATGACACAAATGGAGGTGACAAAACTGGCGTTGCAAGAAAACAAATGGACGACTACTGCCCGCATCACATATGCAACATTCTGCTTTACTTCACCATTCAAAATATCAACCAAATTGTGAATTCAAATGGGAACAATGAAGACAAGGGTGAAGTAAATCTCAGCGATAATGTGTACATACCATTCCTGCTAGACCTAATAATTAAAAAAAAAAACTTTCTAAAATGTGAAGAAATTTTAATGCTCTGTCAGATCTTCAAAATGATGAAAATTAAAAATGACATTCTGGTTAACCATATAGAACAGAACTTAATAACTTATTTTAATCATGCTAGAGAGCAGACAGTTACCCAAAACACTACGAACAACACGGAAACGCCACCTAACACTATTAACTTCACGGATGGCACCCTTGTAAAAATCCTATTTGATATGTGCACCTTTTATAGCAATATAGATGTGTACAATCGGAGCATCCAACACTTTCTGCACAGAAAAATCGATTTCAGCACCTCCCTACTTCTGCTTTATGTATATTCAGAGATAAATTTGCTGAACGACAAAATGATCACCTTACTAATTCGTATCATTAACAAACATTATGTTCAAAACTTTCAAGTGGAAAATGTGTTTCTCCTTGTAAGGTCCTTCTACAAAATTTGCTTGAACAGTCAACACTATTTCTCGCAAAAAAGGATGGGTGCTAAAGGTGTGAACAGCGTGCATTATGCTTCAAAGATGGATATCCCTCCAAAGGAGGTGCAGGTGATGATAGGGTCTATACCGCCTCATCCCTATGAACAGATAACAAGCGTACCCAATGGGGCAGCTAATAATGAGGGCAGAAATACCCTTTTTGTGTCCACTACACTGTCAAGTGAAACTGAGAAAAATGGAACCACAGCTGAGGAAAACTGTCCAGAAGTGGGAAGTGCCTCATATGTAACTCCCCCACACATGCAAAGCTCATTTCACAAAATTGAAAGCCTCGTAGATAACGTCTTCTTCAAACTTGAAAAAGATTTACTAAACGAAAACATACCAACGAACGAGCGTAATCTGCCTATGCTGTGCAAAATGTTATACTACGCCACCGTTCTCAGGAAGTTCCCCTTCATAAATAGCGTAATTAATTTATTTACAAACAAAGAGAGCTCAGAAATTGGAGATTTTAAAAATATATTAAACATACTGCATGCATATTCCTGCGCAAAGAATAGTGCCTTCTACCTTTGCAAAATAGATCAAATGGATCTTCAAATGCTACATGAAAATGACATGACGAAATTGGCCATCAAAGACACAGTTCTCACACGTTACAATTTTATTATAAATAAAAAAAACTTGAACAAGGAGGTTAAAAATATGATTTATGTTCTGTTTGCGCAGTGCAGGCTCAATGATTACAGATATGTGAATGTGGAAGACATAGAATCGTGGCTGAATTACTCCTTTCTGAATATACACCTTTTGGGAATGTTCCTCTCCAGTCTTATGTCGAAAGAGCTAAACGTAATAACGTGCATCAGTAGACAAAGCAAACGCTTAGATGAAGAGGAAAAACTGTCCCTATTGAAACCCCCCCATGAGGACCACTGCAAAGAAATGAAGAACAGTCACATAGCTGTAAAAAAGGACACCAAGTTTAGATACACAAATTTGTATAATCAAATATTACCACATATCGATAAGCTCATTTCAAAGTGCGAAAACATTTACGACATCACGAGGATTTTCAATTCGTCCTTTATTTTTTTAAGCCATTTTGAAAAATTACAGGAGGAAAAAAATATATGCAAGGAAATTTCACAAATGAGGACAAACCTGCATAAAATTATGAACAGCATAGAAAAAAACATTTTGCACAACCTGCATCTCTACAATAAAGAGTTTATAATTCTTCTCTCCGCCATGTGCATATATAACAACAACTATTCTTACCTTCCATTTTCTTTTTTCTTTCAATATTTCGATTTGTTCTCTTTTAAAAATCACATTTCGTACATAATTTTGCAAAGTACGGACGAAGAAATTAAGCACATAGCGAATGAGGTGTTCACCCTCACCAATTTTGACAGCAGGGGAGACAGCCACAAAGCATGTGCCACAACCCAGGAGGGGGAAAATAACGTGGAATCGTTTTATTCCTTGCACATATCGTCCATTATAGACAGTGTAGGGAAATTCACACGAAATAACCCAAATTGGTACAAAAATGCGGAGAAGCACCTGCATGAAGAAGGAAATCTGAACAATAACAACCTTAAGGATGACACCCACCGCAAAGGTACACATGAAGAAGGAACCTCCAACAGTCTGACCCCCCTCCAAGTAAACCACATAATAAACATATACAAACAGCTGATAAGTAAGAATGACTTTGCATGCAACAACGTTTTCAATAAGATTAAAGAAAAATATTTGCACTCCGCTGAAATGAACCTCCTCCTTCTGAGGACCCTTTCTCTGGAAGAACTAAATGACCTATGCATAAACATGCTAAAAAAAAAAGTACCAAATATTTTTCTCTTCAAATGGACACTAAAAAGGAATTATGAATATGTCCATTCAGATGACGCCCCCTCCTTAACATACGATTACATTATTAACTTGCTAAACATTTGCATAAACCTAAAAAGGTACAATCTTTTCATGCAGGACACAGTTGTTAGTAAAATCCTTTTGGACAACTCGGACAAGTTCAACACGCTTCCAAGGGTGAATAAATTGATCGAATCTCTACTTCAGTTAAACGTAAGAAGCGTTTATGATAGCATGTCAAATGAGCTCCTACCCGCTGTGAAGAAGGTCTACCTAAAGTACGTCTCAGATAACCAACCTGTGGATTTAAACGAGGTCATATATTTTATGTTCCTCTTATACAATTTTAACAAGTGTGCAAATTTTTACGACACATTTGAAACCTTCTTGGGGACATTTATCCACATAGGGGAGATAAAAGTATGTCCAAAAAGGAGGTACAATTTTGGGACCAGCCTAAATAATACACTTTTTATGGCCAAAAATGTGTACATCCTTAGTGGCGATAAAAATGGAAACGAAGGCCATTCTGTAAGTACCCCTCTTGAAGAGACTAACAATTTTGACAACGAATATGTTATACACCTGGGTGATATAAACACCAACAAAGAGGCATATAAAACGCAGGATGCAAAATTCGCTTACACAAGCCAAGTGCAAAAGGTACAAGGGACATACCCCATGATATGCATAAAGGATCACTCCTTTGTTACGCTTTTCTTGCTTTTGGATCTCCTCAAAAATGATAGCAAAATTGAACATCACAAAGTTTACCAGTTCTGCCTTACGCTGTTTAAGGATTATATATACCTACTAAACAAAGAAGTGGTCATCCAGTGCTTGTATATTTACTTTTACACCCAAATTAATGAAGAACTGACACAACAACGTCATATGCTTGCAGAAAATAACACCCCACATGAGAACATACAACACATCCTTAACGTTTTAATAACGTTCAGTCATAACTTAGATGTGTATTCAATTCTAAAATTGTGTTTTATCTATATTAACTTATTTATTTATGCACGTAAAAAATATCACGTACAGGAAAACGTCAAAATACTTTTTGAACAAATTAACAAGAAAAAAAGTTTAATCGAAAAAAATAATATGCTCTATGAGCAGGTGAAGAGGTATGAACATGCGCGCATGGGGGAGTAATTAATATAAAGTGACATGTTCTCCACCATTTTTCATCCCTCGCAAAAGAAGCGCAACCACCTTCCTACACATTACTAATAGGCCCCTTCATAGCAATTTACATGCGCTCCAACTGATTATCAAATTAGAACAAAAAAAAAAAAAAAAAAAAACAACAAAAAATACCAGATATCAATTTGCCCGTTCGTGGCCCCTCTTCATGTCTTCTTCAACTTCGAAATAACGACAAGCGATGACAAATGCAGCACCAGCAAGATAATATAAACAAAGATGAATATACTCTTTGAATCGTCAATGTTGTAATAGCTCAGTATAACTGCGAAGAGGTGAAGTGGAGGTCATAATTAGGGTTACAAGAGTGCAAAACAAAGGGGTCGAAAATGTGCAAAAAGGTTGGCACTGCACAAATGTGAAGATGACGAAGTGAGGACAAGCTACACACTTACCATATTCAAAATAGTACGAGGCGAAGGAACTGGCGTCCAAAATGCTAGAGTAGAAGGAGCACATCAAATTGTGAATGTTCTTTATGTACACCTGTCAAGGGGGAAAATAAAAACACATCAAGATTGAAAAATGGGCAAGGGGTGTTCAAAGGCAGAGTTCCAACAGGAACAGAATGGCAATATCAAAATGACACCCATTTGTTGCAGACACATGCGTCGAAGTGTGCGCCCGTGTCTTCCCAGTTGCGAAGAAAATGGAGCAGCCAGCACCTTCGTGACTAGTATATAAATAGGCATAAAAAAGAACGTCTTGTGAAGTGACTTAAGTATGGTTTCCAGGAACTGCAAAGGAACAACAGAAGAGAAATCTTATGTTACATGCTACATCGCAATGGAACAAAAGCAAGACGATTGTAGCATGGAATATCTCCACATATAGACATTACCAGCAAACATATATGGCTACACCCGTTGTGCAAAGACAAAAAACGAAAAGTCATCAGCAATACGTTTATGAGGGAGCTCAGAAATATAGAGGAGGAGTAGGATTCTTCATTAAAGTAACTAATGTAAAGGTAAAGTCCCATCAGATCCGTCACATAGTTCACAAAATTAAGATAGCAGTAGCCGTGTAAATCTAGTTTAATATTCTTAATTTTATAATTTAGAAATATCCTTTCAAAGGTTGGAATAATTAACAATAAGCATATGTAAAAAATGTTGGAAAAGTTCAAATTGTTCAGTAATAACTTGATAGGATAACTAACGATGATGTTCCTCTTTTTCGCGCGCTTTACGATGTTTATGCTTCTCAAGCTGCTTAAGCTGTTCATGTTGTCTAGGTTATATACGTGTCCCTTGTACTGCCCACTGCTCAGTAGTTTTTTTTTTTTTTTTTTATGTAAATATTCCATTTCCTGCTCAATTAGGGAGTCATATTTTGTAATCCCTGCGTTTTCAACACCCGAAGAGCAACAAGGGTAATCAGAAATATTAAATAATTTCTTAAGGTTCCCTAGAATGGGAATCTTAATTTTGTATTCACTTTTTTTTCGAAAAAGTGAGTCCACATTCTTCTGATCACCTGTCGCATCCTCCAAACTCAGCAGTGTGTAACTGTGGCTATACTTAATTTCATCCTTCTTAAAAATGTAGCTTTTTATTCTTGATAAGAGTTTAAACAGGTTTAAAAATTCTGTGACATATTTTAGCTTTACAGAACAGGCATTCACGGATTTTGCATTTTCATTCGACGACCCCTTTGAGGAAATATCGTCCGTGAGAAGTCTTTCACCATAGTACTCATTCTTGGGAAAGTTAAAATAATTCCCATAGTACTTATCATTGTAGAGGTAGTTACTATATATGCCCTGGTTAAAATTATTTCTACGACTGGGTAAATCGTCACTGTTACTCACTTCTGATATATCCTTTTTGACAGCAAAACTGCTTTGCGCTTCCCCGCATGGGCCATTCCTAACCGCATCTCCCCCGTTCTGTTTGCGTAGTTCCCCCCCCCTGATGTCTATCTTAACAGAGTCGCTCTTCTCACAGGTAGCCCCCTTTCCAGTTGTGGCGTCCGCCTTCTTCTCACAATTAATGCTGGCAAACGTTCCATCATTGTGGTAATTAAAAAAGTTGTCCTTGTTTTTGAGGAAAATAAAAGAAAGAACACAAATAGACAGCATCTTAATAAAAGTATTTATAATCATAATATTCACATGCTCATAAAGTATCACAAATATGTGATAAACGAAATAAATAAACATGGTGGAGAGGCTTAATATCATTTTGCTGATAACTTGAATGACGTAGATGGCGTTAATGCTGAATTCTTTTTTGTATATGTTTGTAAATTTACCACACAGGAAAAATATATTCTCTGAAATCACATCGGTTACACTTTCTAGTAGGGAATACAAAAAACAACAAAAAAAAAAATTCTCCTTTTTCCTTATAAAGTTGTTCGAAATTAGTATCAAAATGCATGAATTAAAGATCTGTATAATTATACATGACAAAATGAGTATGTTCAATTTTAGGTGATAATATTCTGCGTTTATTTTATTGTTTATGAGTTCACGCACGCTGTGCAAATTGTCCTTCTTTCCGTAGTTAAAGTTTTTAAATTTGTTATAATAATAATAATCGTTATTTTCTGCCGATCCTATCTTGTTATTTTCTCCTAATTCGTAGCTGTCCTTAAAAAGGTAGTCCATTTTTAGGCTACCTCGCAACGTGCGGTAGGATTTCTTTATCTTCTTCGGTTCGCAATTTGAAGTATCTCCTCCGTCCCCATTTGGATGATATCCCTCTGGGTTGTACCCCTTTGTGTCGTCATTCGAGGTTGCCATCAGCATTTCCTCGCCCCTCACTTGAGGGCTTTCCGCATACTCACGTTGTTGGTCCTTTGCAGCATCCTCCATATCACCGGAACCATGATGCGTCTTCGACATGCACACCACATTTTCCTTCAAATTTTCAAAGCCAATTTCTTCGTAGTTCCCGCTGTCATTGTAATTCCCAATGGGGGTTGATTCGTTCAGCGCCATGTAATCTGCATTACTATTCTGAAAATGGTTTGGTGTTGTGTCGTTTTGAGTATCACCCATTTTACCTAACCTAAATTTGAGCAATTGAACGTCTTCCTCGTTTGCTGTTCCTACCAAGTTGTTTGGTGCGCAGAAAGTGTTTACCTCCACGACGCTTGAGTCGTAGTGCACATGGTCCCTCATATGTTTGTCTTCTCCACTTGGGCCAATACGGTAGATGCTGGTCGCTCTACTAACGCGCGTAGTACTATCTGAAATATTCCTACCTTGTTGGAGACTATCCACATAATTGTACCCCTTCTTCATGCTCATATAGAGCTTGTTAAAAATAGACTTATTATTTTTGCGCTCAATTCCTTGCTGCGTTGAACTACTAGAAGAAAGGACCCCCGCTTCTGCATCATTTCTCTTTCTCTGTTTCCTTCTGAAGAAAATATTCTTCCTATTCTTAAACACATTATGGAACCACTTATTACCCTGAGCATCCCGCTGGTCACTATTTAGGAGCTTATTTTGTATAAAGCTATTTCTACAGGTAATGAATTTAATGCGTGGGTGTTTCTTCCTTGTGTCTTCTTTACAGGTAACCCTTTTTATACTGCTCTTTTTGCGTTTTTTTCTGTTAATCCTTAAATTTCGTTTCCTCTGCCAAAGGGAAAAGGCCTTTTTTTTTCGTAACATATATTTCCTGCATTCGTACAGAGACATGTCAGATAATCTCTTCGTAGACACATCATATGAGTTTTTTTTTCTTTTACTTATTCTGTGCACGAGTCCAACTTTGTCCTTTTTTAAAAAAAAATTTTCACCAATTTCAGTAGCCCCATTTTCATACGACACAGAGGAATAATATATTTTCCTAAAGTTGTTATTTATCCTATTGAAGTAGTAGCGAATGTATACATAATATGCGATGTAGTCGAAGAAAAGTGTGTAGAAGCATTTTAAACAAATTGGTAAGTACACAACAACAAACAATTTCGTGTTTAAAAATTTGTCATCATTCTTATTATTAAAATTGAAAAAATGAGTGAAATAGTAAAAAAAATTCTCCTCCTCCTTTTGCGACTCATTATTTTCATATTTATTCAATAGAAAGGTAAAAAAATGAGATATGGTAATTTCTGCGTAGGTATAAGTTATCCTTAAAAAAAATGTATACAGAAACAGGATGTGATAGATGTAGTAATTTTTAATAAAGTAGTAGTAATTCATAAACTTCAATAGCTTCTCTTTTAACATGGTTGCATTGGATTGGTTTTCACAAAAATGTTTTTTTTTCTATTGTCTTTTTTGAGGGGAAAGGGGGGGGTTCTCCCTTAATGTAGTATTCGCATATGTGCGAACTTGGAGACGTTTGTTTGGCTGCTCCTACACAGGTAATTCGCGTCTCACAAGGGGAACGTTAAAATTTGTGCAATGAGTTCTGGGTAGTACAACTCTTTTTAACGTGTTAGAATTATTCATGAATGGACCTCCAAAAAAAATCATCTCTCAAACGGGGGAGGAAACATTAAAAATGCTCATTTGCAAATAAACATTAATGATGACCTTACTCAAAAAAGGGAATCATTATACGAGGACAAAAAAATTAATTAACACATGAAAAGACTTAATATCAAGTGACAAACTGCATTTGTAGACTGTCTACATATGGGGTCCTCTGCACGTGATTATAATTAAACACACATGGAGTATACGAAAAAAAAGGGGACTAAATAAGAAGCAAATGAATGGCAGTATTGACCTGAAACAACTGCTCAAATACTTCACCACACACATTTCTCCCCCAAGTTGGGCAAACATTAATCAAATAAAATGGGAAAGACACGACGAACAATTGTGCTTATGCGCAATCGCCACGCTAGGGAGAATAGTAACGTGTCAAAAAGGAGCGCTACATTTTAAAAGAAATTGAGAAAACAAAAAAAAAAGAAAAATAAAATAATCAATTAATTGAACCATTTCACGTTATAGAACTCGCCCGGATTGTGAAGACTGAAAAGTTACACAAAAGTGCGTACTGTAGAAAACGCCAAAAATAAAAAAACACAGAAATACAAACATGGTGTATACGTCAAAGTACACGCTGAAACGGCGCTAATAATGGGACTAACGAGGAATGTGTCACAACGTGTATTTTGGCCACAGTGCACACATTCTAGGACGAAAAAAGAGCGAAAATCACATGGCACAAGTTTAAACGTGAACAAGGCGAATTATGGGCGTACAAAAAATGTTCACTCCTACACGCGGCATGCTTTCCCACATTTGTGTATTTCCCTTTCTCTCCTTTTGTACAACTAAGTACATGCATATACACAAATTCGTATGCTAACAAATGGTATGCAACTTTAATTCTAACACTGTGCAAATGACTCACTATCGTTTTTATGAAGGTTTTGCCAAATGTGTGTTATGTTGGTCTGCATCAGTATGCTCGAGTTTGCGCGATTTTGTGGCGTTCGCTTTCTCATTACACTCTTTCCAGTTCTGAAAAACGTTTTGTATATCATTTCTTTTGTTACTTTTTTTTACTGCAAAAATGGAATAAACAAAACGTTTTTGAATAGTTTTTTTTTTTTTTTTCACGCTACATGTGTTGAAATGTTAGCGTCTTTTCCGCTTTCGTTTTCCGAAACCTTCAATTTTAATTTAATTTTTGCAATTCGTACTTCACGCGTACTACGCCCTCTCGGCCGGCATGGAAGTGAAGTCACACTTGCAATGTCCCGCATTTCCTTTTCCACACATACACAATGTAAATGGGATAAATGTTTATATACACATGGCACATTATATGACCCATATTTTTGATGCCCTTTCGTGGAGATTTTTCCACAAATATTTTCGTATCCCTAATAGTATCGCATCCCGCGAGGGTGTTCTTTTTTTTTTTTTTTTTTACACATGCGCATTTTCCGCCCTTGTCATTTGTTTACTGTTCCGTTAAAAAATATATGTTGAAGAATGCAAAAAGGAAAAAAAAAAAAAAAAAACAAAACAAAAAAGATTAAACTGCTTTTGTTTTGTTTTCAAATAGGCGACATAAGTGTTACGCTTAAGTGTAACTGCGCTATGCGTGTCACTCCAGCATAAATAACTTTTCTCATAGGTATATCGCCCTACGTATTTCTTTTTTTCTTTTCTCCACCCTTTGTGTTTGCTATATTTTTCTTGTTTTCTTTTTTCATATATTTACGCTTCATTCAATTTTTTAAATTGAAGGGGAAAACTAAACAAATCAAACGTGCAAGCCGGTATGATTCTCACAGGAAATACACATTTCCACCCCTCATATATGCGCGTTATTTATGCTAGTTTTTACCTTATTGTTCTTCCCCTTTCATGCTTGCGCCACACGCTCATTGTACTTGGCCAAATCGTTTGAGCAAAACACCACATGTGCTTGTGTACATATAAACTTACTTCCTTTTTTGTGTAACTGCATGCTCATATATATATATATGTGTTTTTTTTTTTTTTTTTTAAACAAGGATATATGACTTGCATATAGTTTCCCTCGAGCTCAAATTGAAAGGTGAACTTTGAAAACATAACTCTACTCCACTGTTCTGGAAGTAGGGAGAAGCTTCTTCACCCCACATGCATGTAGCCACACATACACATGTGCATATTATATGTATAGAAAGTCTTTGATGCAACCTTTTCTCCCCCCTGCGGTGGTCAAAATAGAGTGACAGTGTAAGCTGCGCATGGACCATTTGCGTTTATACAAATGCATGATTTGTTTTGTTCTTAACCTTTGGACATTTTAAACTGAAAACACAAAAAAAGGTAAGAGACATATAACAACATAGGTCTTATGGTAACAAGAGTGTAGTAGCCCTTTACAAGAATAATTACAGTCATAGGGGTGATAGCAATCCGAAAGGAAGAAGAGACACAAGAATTCTTTTTTTTTTTTTTTATTTTTTAACGCTCTCCCCCATTATTTCCAATTGTAATCAATCGTGCAAATGCTTATGTAATGAGACTACCGCAACAGAACAAAAAGAAAAAAAAGAATAAAATAAAATAAGTGAAAATGAATGTACTCTTTAGAACGTTTATACTCCTAGTTGTAATAAAGACGCAACTTATTTTAGGAAGGAGTGTAAGCTATGATAAGCAGAGGTATGTCCCGAAGGTGTACGCTACTTTGCACGGCGCGAGCCCCAATGAGGTTGTGAAAAAGGCTAATAGGACGTCCAGATATGTTAAGAACAAAAAGTATGTTCCCGATTTTTCCACTGTCGCCAATTTCCCGACAAGCACTTCCCTGTTCATTAACAACTACAAACCCAAGTATGAGAAGATAAAAACGGCGGGCATATCCAACCTCCACATCACGGATGCCCACAACTACAAAATAAAAACCAATCAACATGTGATAAACGCACTAAACAAAAAAATAAAGGACGGCATATTTACCCTCTTTAATGCTGCAAATAGAGACACCAGCATTTATAACAACGATTTTAACAGTAATAAAATTATAGATGACATTTCCTCCAGTGATAAATCTCAACATATTGGGACACAAAATCAAAATGCCTTCGGAAATGAAGTACTAGGAGATAAAAACTATGTAGGGACAGGAGCAGACCAAAAAAAGCCATGCACCTTTTTAAGCAATGTGGTTGAGGGAGGAAAGACAATGTCCTTGCTAGGGCTTTGGTATTTATGTAACATCTTCTACAACATTGAAAATAAAAAGGCATTAAATTTATTAAATTTGCCAATTACAATTGCCATAGCGCAAATTTATGTGGGCTTGCCAATCTTCCTAATTCCCTGGGCCCTCAAATTGAGAAATCAACCGGAACTATTCTACGATGAACAGGAAATGAGGAAAATAAACCTAAGTGATAGAAATGCATTAATAAAGGCATTACAAAAGTATGTACTCTTTTTAAAAAAATATAGTAGCATAATGAAGCAAAGTATATATCATGGCTATGCTCACCTCTTATCTGTTATCGCCATGGGAGCTGGGGCAATAAGTTTTGTCCACATTGTTAAAGCCTCTTCACCATTATTTGCAGCCTTCTTCTCATATTTCTTAATGAACAACAGAATGTCCCTTTATACTTATTCTTCCCTACTTCCAATCGTATTTGGTGTGTCCTTAGCGTCAATAAAGGAACTATCATTTACCTACAAGGCATTATATTCAACCTTGTCGGCCAACGTACTTTCAACCATGAGAGCTATAGAAGCAAAAATTATGATGGATAAAAATTTAGAAAGATTAGGAAAACATTTAACTCCTGAAAATATATTTGCTCTTTTAACACTCTCCTCTGCCATCTTTTTGACACCAGCTTTATACCTTGATGCACACAAGTGGAAAGATGCCTACGCCTACTTGATGGATAACAAAGACGTTTTAAAGGTACTGGGAAGACATGTCCTCATGTCAGGTGTGTGGTTTTACCTGTACAATCAGTTGTCCTTCATTTCGTTAAACAGATTAAATCATATTACTCACGCCGTGGCTAGCACAGTCAAGAGAGTTTTTTTAATATTAACTAGCTACTTCATATTTGGAACGAAATTTTCCTTCCTTGGTGGACTTGGTTCAACTATAGCTGTAAGTGGCACTTTCTTATACTCTGTGGTGAAGAAGAAATTTGGCTAGTTTTTTTTTTGTTTTTTTTTTTTTTTTTCAAAACTGCAAGAATGCAATGCAAGCGGTCATATCCTGCGTGGGTCATGCATATACTTACCAAAAAAGAGGGTGTCACCCGTCCTCATACATACATATATATATATGTCTTTACATGCCCATGCCTATATCTCTTGTTTTTGTTGTTAAATGGGAGTAATATAGTACAAGTTGTTCGCACTTCACAGCTGAAGGTTACACACATATATTCGTATATATAAGTCGCGCTTATATTTACACGTGGTGGAAGCGCGCTACCATTCATGCCTCTCCACACTTGTGAATACAGCTTTATATATATATATAAATGTGCCCATTTAAGCACCTTTTTTAAAACGCCTTTATGCCAGGCCGGCATAAATATACATACGTATCATTTTTCTCGAATTTTTTCATGGTCCCAACCCTCCTATCTGCACACATGTGTGTGCCTTGCATACGTGTTAACAGCTCACAACGTCTGTGTTCCCCTCATGTGCATATCCCTCGCATGCATATATATACATACACATCATTCGAATTAACAGTTTGCAAATTGTTAGCTACGTCCCAATTAATGCATTCTTTTTCGACCATACAATAAATGTTATTCTTTTTATTTACATCACCAGCATTCGCTTTATATTTTGAAAAATGTTGCACATTTTTTTTTTTCGAAAAACAGGACTTTATAAACATGCGCGAAATCGCATAAGGTTAAATTGTTATAAATCACCACGGTGTTTTCAACAAATCGGGTGCAGCGCCCCCATTTATCCATTTGCTCAGACCTTTTCCACGTCTTATTGGCTACCCACAAGTGAAGAATCCAATGTTGGATTGTCTTTTTAGCAAAAGGAGGGGGATAAAGCAGTCCGCCCCTCAAAATTGCAATGGCAACAGCGATGCTCCAAATTGTTGTACCCCCCTTCACCTATAAAAAGTTGTTCGCACATGCCTATTTTCACTTCTTCCCTGCGTCCCCCCCCGTTTCCTACGAATGTTCCTAACATTGTAGCATAACATCCACGCTTTGTTGCGATAACTTTGCATCAACTAAAACATTTACTAGGACAATTTTGAAAAATATTTAAAGTGTGAAGTTAAATAGGTGCGCCTCCACACATGAGCACACCTTGGAACGGCGCCTTAAAAAGAATATCACATATCATTAAAACAAAAAAAAAAAAAAAAAGAAACGAAAAGAAAAAACAATAAAGAAACAGTGAACACTCAAACAACAATTAAATTATGATTCGAATTGAAAAACAAACACGATGTAGGACATATAACATATGACACAATAAATTCTGCATCAAGTATGACAACATATTTAAATTGAGCAAGAAGCGAAATCAAAAAAAAAAAAAAAAAAAAAAAAATAGCCTCGGCATGTGCACATTAAAAAAACACGTCAGCATTATTCGATGTTAAAGCAAAGGCGTGGACAAAAAGGGTGAGCAAAAAATTCTTCACAACGGATTATGGCGCTGGACTAGCAACCAATATGTAACGACTGCGCGCATGGGCTGTTTCGCTCGACTTCATTCCAATATGTTCCTTTTTATTACAATTCATTCCATTCCATTCTGCTTTGTAACCCCAGCAGGTCATGGACCTTCAAGTTGCCCCCTCTCTGCGCTAGAGAATGATTATGAAAAACACGAGCGACGTGGTCAAAACGGCAATAATTACATACAAAAAATAATTGCTCGTATTATTTGTGACTCTTTCGAAAATGTTTCTGTTCCTGTTAAGCAAATTGTTCGTCTCATCGACATCCCTGTCTATGTCATCCAACAATTCATTATGCATTCGCAATTCGCTGTTTATATTGTAGCTAATATTTTTTAAGTTGTGCGTAGTGCCTTCCAGAAAACTCAACTGCTCGTCTTGCAACTTCATCAAATTCTGCTGCTTCAAGAGTAACTCCTCCTTGTTTAAGTCGTTCAAGTATGAGCCATTTTCGTTGTCCAGGTCGTTCATAAAATCCATATTTATGTTGAACGAGGCATCCTAAAGAGGGAGAAAGAGGCCCACATACGGGGATATGTATATATTATGCAGATATACATGCCCTATGAATATACACAAATTGGTGGTATTCCTGGGGTCACCCCCCATACGCTTTGCCACATGCCAAACTGTACCTCCTCATGAGTAGAAGCGAAATCTTCATACAAATTCATTATGTCCTTTTTCAGTTTTTCCAGGGTGGACATTTTGTTCTTGTACTTGGATTCATTTTTGATGTACACTTTGTCATTCTTTATGTAATCATTATTTAGCTGGTGCTCCAAGAATCTAAAACTTTGATTAAATTCGGTTATTTTCCCCCTTAAAATTGCCCTGTTCTTTGCCTTCTTCTTCTCTTTTTCATTTTTCTTTAATATCTTTTTAATTTCTTTCCCTGTCTGTATAGCCTTCTCATAGTCTTTGTCCCACAAATCCATTTTCTTGTTGATTTATGTGCATGTGTGCTTGACGCGTAAACAAAATGTGCTTGCATATGTTCGCATGCGATTCTTTTAATTGGGTCAAATTAGAAACTTCCTAATGTGACGGTGTAATATATGCTATATGCATGTGTTTGGAAAGTATGACATGCCCTCCTTTTAGCCGTAATTTGCTTTGTACATCCCTTATGTACATTGGCTTCTTTACAAACGCAAAGAAGGGTATGCGTGTGTGCGGGGATGTTTATACGATGAGCAACAGTCGCTACTACGACTCACTATCAAATGGTAAACACCACTATACTGATAACGTTAAGAATTCAGCCCAAGTGACCCTGCGTGATGGTATTATGTTGGAATTATTCTACTGGGTAACTTAGAAGATTCACTCTCACACGACCTACATATGTACACACATGTACGTACGGTAATTAGGCAGGCAAGAAGAATATTTGCCAAGCGCCTTCTGACTCACCGTAAAATTACAGACGCGCCTTCTGCCTCTTTTTCTTCTGTCACAAAAAAAAACTGGCTCTACATTATTTACGCTATTTTTTACTTCTTAAGAAAAAAGCTACTTCGTTCTCTTCTTCAAAATTTTGAAACTCGTAAAAATACTCACAAATGCGAATGCGCCGTATACGTTAATAAGTAGTACAAATTGCGCGGCCCGCTATTTACATAGGGGGATGTACAAACACACATTCGAATATAAATATATACACATGTATATTAACATATATTTATATATGTTTGTGCGTACCCTAGGGGAAGGGTCTGTCGGCAGGGTGTGCCACTTCCTTGCCAAAAGAGTACTTGGCCGCGATTCCAAAATTTGTTGTACGTACTAGTTTGCCGCACAAAAGTGCCTCCTTAAAATGGCAAATGAGGAGTTTCTAATTAGGGTAAAACTTAAAAAAAAAAATCTTCAAAAGGGGGAATTATATATATTACATGTTACATATCCTTGTACATCAAATTGGAAGCAAAAATTAATAAATAAACGCTGCCAAGTGTTATACCACTTCGCAAAATAGCTTTAACTCTTTTCTAATTTTTTTATTATTTTTTTTAATTATCGGAGAACAATTGCACAATATGAGTTCGTTCATAATGGAGATTCCCAAATGGGCAAAACTACGTGGTGGTAAAAAAAAGAAAAAAGAAATGTGCAATGTTATCACATTGGCGCTGATAAAAAAAAATGTCAAAATTTTTTACCATGTGTTAGCGGTTCACTTCTATGACGTTTCTCCCACTGCGTTACGTCGTTACGCTGCTGCTTTATACGCAACCTTTTTTCTTTTTTTTTTTTCCGTACATAAGGGCAACCTTTTTATATATGCTCCGTCAACCTATGGTGCAACAAGTTGTATTTGAAGGTGCCTCAAATGGGGAGTTGCAAAAGACTAAGCGGCAACACGGAGCGGGCAACACATACCAATCTGTGTTGATTCCTTTTAAATTAGTGTACTGTTCTGGGGCAGTCTCCAAACTACCGAACCGGTGCTGTGCACATAACGTATGTTGGTGTATTTGCCTTTTATATGCCCATTACACATGTGTGCTTAAACATACACATGTGAGCAGCGACTGGATCATATTTCTAAGCAGTTAAACGTCCACCCCTATGAGCTTACAATTTTCTCGCACTCTTTTCGCTCCTTCCAATTCGCTCATCTGTTCTTCTGACATGTACTTTCGCCACCACTTAGTGGTTCAGATCACGGTTTGGTCCCATTAGCTTTGTACAGTTCCAAAATATGTACACATGTTCAAAGAAACAAAATAAAATACATCACAGCACTGTACGGAGCTATGCTTTACAACACACAGCAGACGTTTTCCTCTATATCCCGGTGTACTGTCTACAGGTGGCTATATTAAGGGTCCAAATTGACTTCTGTTCCCCTTTCATATGTATATAAGTACAATTTGATCACTTTTGTATTCGTATGTTTCAAAAAAAAAAAAATGTTTGGTTCTGTAAAATGTTAAGTCCATATGCTACAATTCATGCATTTTAGTTTTTTTGTTCTCACGACTTGGGCATATTATAAACGTGGCGTGCAAAAAAAAAAAAAAAAAAAAAAAAATTCATAATGTTGCTACATGCATTTAAACATTTTAACTTTTAAAATGAATTAAATTGGTTTATGTTAAACGATATTATTTTCTATTTTCCTTGTCACAAAATCATAAACACATTCTTTTTTTTATGTTTCGTATATAGCATAGCATATGATGCAAGCTTGCAACAACACACCAAACCTGATAAGTGCAAAAACATGGTTTTTACACGGTTAACAAAACAAAAAGCATTTTGTTCACATTTTGCATTACGCAATTTTTAACCTTTACTTTTTCCCAAAAGGCCCTTTTGGAATCACAGTTGCACTGAACTGAACATTCAGAGCCCAATCTAGATAGGTGACAAAGCCTTAGACTGCATTCCCCTGTGTTTGAACGAATACGTGAAAACAAAAAAAAAAAAAAGGAAAAACCAACACAAATATACATGAAAATACCATTATAGATATGCGCCTAAATGGTGCATGGTCATATGTGGGACTCTACAATGCACATGGGCTATGTGCAAGTGGCCTTTTACACGCAGTTGCCAATTCCCGTTTGCAGGAACCGCTTTCGCCCAGGAGTAAAAGCGAAGGCAACATGAAGAAGGGAAAGTCGAAAACCAAAAAAAAGCTCCCCAAGGGTCAGGAGAGATACATACCGACGCAGGAGGAAGTGGAAAAAAGAAATGCAGAAATTACGAGGAAGCAACAGAAGGAAGAGCCCGAGAAGACCTCAGAGGTGGGGTCTTTGCCAAGTGGATCAATGAGCGTGGCCGACTCTCAAGAACATAGCTCAGAAAATGAAAAGAAGACCCCAAAGAAAAAGGTCAGAATAGTGGTAGACGAAAAGGTAAAGGAAAAGGAAGACAAAAAGGAGAAAGATGAAAAGAAACCAAACAAAGAGAATGAGGACCTCCCCAAGTAATGTTTCCTTGGACGGGATCCCTCAAATGAAGTCCCCATCCTTGGTTAGGAGCTCTGTATTCTTATTTGATGCACCCCCTAATTACGCGGAGTTTGATCACCTTCGATATACTTTTCTTCCTCTTTTACCTCATTGTTTACTCAACGATTACCAACCCGAGCCCCCTAGAGAGGGAACAATTGTGCATTAGATATTTTTGATTAGCAAATTTTTTCTTTTTTTCCCACGCACATCTGTACATTATGAAAAAAAAAAAAAAAAAAAAAAAAAAAATACAAGACATAGTTACATAATATGTACAAACCTATTTTTATAATTGAGCAAATATACATACCATGCGTTTGAAAACAACAAACTTATCAAAATAAAATTGTGAGCCTTGCTCACATTAACTTTCATTTCCCCCCAACGTGTATAATTACTCTTATCCTGGTATCTTATTATGCATTAACTGTGAATTTATAAATTGTACATAGAACACTTAATATATGGATCAGCTAATAGAACAATATATGCCTCCTTACAGTAAGAGAACACATGAATTTCTAATGACACACGTTTGAATATGCCTACACGTATGATATATGTATATGTAATGATTAAGAGAGCTTGTCACTAGTTTTGAAACTGTGAAATGGCCATAATTGCATTTTCCGGACATGAGTCTTTTTTCCCCCGCACGTCCACGTTTACGTCTGTTCATATATATATATATTTTTTCCCATTCATTGATCATTACAGAAATGCAAAGCCATTAAAATGAGCTTTAAATTTTTTTTGTGTAGTTTATTTAAGACCTGCTATATATAACTAGCGCATATGACATACATTTTCCTATGCAATAACACAGCAGTCTTAATTCTGCTTTATCGCATCAGTTAAAGTACATTTTGTTTTGCTTAGCTTTATTTTGACTCGTGCAGCATTGTTCGCTACATTTCGTAATATTTAGTATTTTCGCCATGTTTTGTACTTTTTCCATTTTTACGGCATTTTTTCGTCACCTGCATAGTGATATATACTCGAGGAATGAAGCAATAAAAGAATACCACTAAAGAGGATGTTATATATTATATATATTTTTTTTTTTAAAATATGGGTTTATAATGCCGTCATATTCACCTTCATTTTTTCAAATTGTGCAATGTTAACCATTTAAAAAAAAAAAAAAATTCTCGTTTTTAAAATCGTTCATTTGTTCGTTCTGTTATTTAAAGTACCCAAATTCACATTAACATCACGGTTATTAACACGAAACAATTTTTTTTTTTTTTGTTTTTTTCAACCTGCTGAAAAAACAAGCTTAAAATAAAAACATTTACGCACAGTCCTACATGTTTAAACGCTACAATATGTTCACCGTACCTTATTGATTATCTGGCTTAACGTTATATGTATTGTATATGTATATAATATATATAAAAATACTTATACTTACATGTAGCATGTGCCAAACTTTATCTGTTTGTCATCCGCATTTTTATGCCCCATTTTTGCCCTCTTTAACTGCTCATACCAAAGTTTAAGTGTTTTTACACAGTAGCGTTCACTGTTCCTTGCTTTGAACATTCCTTTGGGAATACAAATCACTGTTTGGAAGGTCCAGGAGGGCACAAAACCAGCACTGTCCTACGTTGCGCGGCTGCATTATGCTTACATATATGTACTTGTATGTTTAAGTACCTGAGCGTTCTGCAACTGCATGGATAACTCTTCCCTGCCTGCCTTTCGCCCTTTCCCAAAGATTGACGAGCAGCGACTAAAACGCTCGTAGTTCGTAGCTTATAGCTCGTAACAGAACTACGCCCCACTGAACAGCTGTTTAGTTAAGGACTGCCCCAAGTACGTGTATACACAAAGGTGTTCGTGCCACATTACGCGCCAATATGGTAAAAAAACGCAACTGTGACTTATGAACGCACCAGTTTGACGCATTTGCCCACCTGAGGAAAACCCATTTACAGAATCTCCACGTCCAGACGCTTAGCTTCGTTAAAGTACGCTCGCAAAGCCCAGCGGCATAAATTTGGGTAAGTTTTCACTCCTCCGCACTGCGTTTTTTGCAAAACTGTGTTGAATTATTTGCGCTGTTTTCCATAAACGTCCAATTTGCGAATTTCTTCACTTGTTCATATTTTCCCTCTTCCTTGTTTTTTCTATTTTTTTTTTTAAACGTACGTGTGCAAATGTAATGAGCGATGTCATGCGCTGCTTCACCTTTGCCTATGTATACACAAATGCATAATACAAATGTATACGAACAAAATATAAACACGTAAAATATATGTGCATAAGTACACTACATATGTGCGCAAATGCGTTCATATTTATATACACATATGTACAGTTACATACGCGCGCGTAATCACGTTTACACAAACGAGTATATAATGCATATAATTATTTTTACCTTTGAGCCACACGAATGTTACTTGTAATGTGGTTTGATTACCCTGCCACGTACTTTTCCCGACATTTACACATATGTTTCCCCGCCTGTTTATACTTTTTTTTTTTTTTTTTTTTTTTCCCAATTTTGGAAAACCATTTTTTTGAGAATGCATTTTCATTAATGTAACATTATTTTTTTATGAAAGTACAATTTGCGTGGATAATTAACACTTCTTAAAATTCTCCGCTCTTTCTCCCCTTCCTTCCAGAGCTTATTTTTTTTTTTTTTTTCTCGTACAAAACTTGTAATATATGAATACGCATTACAGTTTTATTTGAGCGCTGAATATAGTACCAAAATGGCAGAAACAGAAAATTCAGTGCGCGCATATATCAGAAGAATATACGTGAACACGTCACATGTAAGTGAGAGACAAAAGTGAAAGGGCATGAGAAAGCACAAATGCTTATGGGGGTTGATACGACATGAACAACTATGAGAGTTCCTTCTGCACGAGCAAGTTACCCTTGTCTGCATGACCCCTGCTTTGAGCAACTGTTGCGTGGAATCCCTTGTCCAACAAACGGCGAAACCACAACAAATATGATTTGCAAAAATGATAAACTGTTAACTTAGATGCGTTAAGCATGATGTGATATTTTATGCCGCCCATAATTGTATGACCATTCGCTAATTGTGCTTCCCCCTTTTTTTTTTTTATCATGTGTTTTCCTCCTCTTCAGTTTGTGAAAAACTACATGACCGCCACCGATCAAGAAATGCAGAACAATGCCGATCCTATAATGGACATCATAGCAACTGCACCAAGTGATTCATTGTACTTTATAGAAAGAATAAATCTCATTTCAGCTGTAATAAGCATCAGCACCTCCTTCCCTTACTTGGCGTATCTAATCATTCACTGGAAGGAGTGCTCATGCAATGAGATCCTGAGATGGTGGATAGTAATTAACAGCTTGCTGCAGCTTGTACAGGCCCCCGTGCGATTCTTTCTCTACTTTCTGTTGAGGAAGTATAAGATGGAAAATGAACGGATGCACATTCACGCGTAAGAAACGAGCTTGTTTACCTTATCGTAACGCATTCATGCGCCAAAATTTGATGTGCGCACATATATATGTATTTCTTGCCCCTATGTGAAAATCCCATTTTATGTATATGTAATTGAGCGAGAGCCGCGTTTACACATCATCACCGCTACACATTCCTTCCATCCTCCCCCTCGCACGCAGGCTGAGAAGACTCACGAGCTCCAAGGGATGGAAACTCAGCAAGAGGTTCAGCCTGCTGAACTATTTATGGTTTATTACAGGCACCATCGTAATGGTCATGACAAGAAAGTACACGAGGAATTTCTACTTGTGGTTTATATCATGGTCTATTATCCTCTCATGTGTGTTCCGAGTATTCTTTACAGTCATATGGTTCTGCTTCTTTTTTCCATATCATCAAAATGTGCCGAAACAGAAAAAAGGGGTACCAAAACCATTTTTTGCAGAAATCCCTACCTTTAAATATTCACCAGACAGAAAATTAAAAAACGAGTCGTGCTCCATTTGCCTATGCGATTTTGCCGCAAAGGATGATATTCTTGAATTAAGATGTTTACACAACTTCCACACAAAGTGCGCCAAGAAGTGGCTCTCCCAGAGAAGACAGTGCCCTCTCTGCCAAAGGGATGTTATGAAAAACAATTAACTTGTTATGCAAACCTTTACAAGAACACCCATTTTATGTATAATTTTTCTGTGGGTGCGTGTTTATCGCTTCCATTCTACCCACCGACCCTGTAAAATTATCATGCACATATGTGTACTTCTCCCTCGATATAGGGCGCACGACCCTCTATGTTTTATTAAGTTTCCCACGCGCTGTCTTAGACATGTGCACATGGGTACATGTAAGTGCTTATGTGTACGCGCTTACATGTACACGTATATGAGCACCAGTATTGTGCTTCCCTCTCTCGCTCTTTTTTTTTTTTTTTTTTTGATCACTAGCCCACCTCTACTATTACCTCATTCGCTTCTTCCTCTCCTTTTTTTTAATTATTTTTTTTTAAATTTACCTATCTGTATACCATCACTTACCATTTGAGGGCCCCCGTATTCATTTTTCGTTTCACTTTTTTTTTTTTTTTAATATGTATTTATTAAGAATGACGTTTTAATATATATGTATTTATATGTGTAGTGCCTTCCCCCCCCAAGGTGTGCGCAAATATATGTACACTTGCAAGTACACACGTGTACGGCAAGAAGTATATGCCTATGTGTGGCGTACGACAAAGCACGTACCTTTACGTATGTTCACCTCCCTCATTACCTGCATACGTTTGTTTTAATGTGTGCCCTTGTCTTTAATCAATGTAACCCTAAGTTATAAAGTGCGTTTTGTAAACAAATGGATACCAATAGTATTCAGCACAATAATTACCAACTCTTTAATATGTATGTTACACCTACAAACTTTATCGAAAGATCCTTATTTTTGTAAATTTAAATATTTTTCCTGTCACACAGTTTTCCCCTTATTTAACTCGCATGCTTCCACATGAGGCGAACGGCACGAAGTATACGCATTTAACATTGGCCGCTTCTTCATAGAAGCCCTGCTTTGTACTTTTCGAAAATTTTCCCTGCACCAATCAAAATATGCTCTCTGTGTGTGTGCATATTTCCCGTTGACACAAAATTTCCTGCTCAACCACTTCGTAACTCAGCACGTACACATGGTAAAACTCTGATCAACCGAACGGTCTACTCGGCACTATTTGAAACGGCAACCTTATGATACTGTAGATTGGAGGAAGAAACCCAAAAGACCAACCTCCCCACACCCCCAACTGTTGATTAATTCGTCAACTTAATCCATAAACACAGTTTGTTTGTGTACAAATCTACGCAAGCAGTGCAAAAAATGGGACACAAAAAAAAGACACTGAAAAAAAAAAAAAAAAAAGACGGCCACATTTAATAACAGATTGTGGGTCCCCATTCATGCAACTGCAGTTAACAGAAACAATTTTCCCATTGGGCGATTTCGTACAGGAAAATAAAAACACATTCCACGGAGATACAATACGCCCACACAAAATGGGTGCATGTACGTGCATGGGTCTCACGACACCCCCGTGCATATGCTAAAACGGGAGGATGCCCTCATCCCCAAAAAGCTGTCTCAAAAAATTTTACCTTCAAAATATGATTTCCCAAAGCGGTTGACACTTCTGCACAAAAAAAAAAAAAAGAAAGCACTACTATCCCACTTCAATGCTGAACTTCGAGCCTGCTTTTTAGTATGGCTCCCGATTTGAATCCTCGATAGGTTTGATAATTGTTAGGGGGTCACAATTATACTCGTGCAATTCTTCATTAAATTTAAATTTTGATATATTGCTAAACACACTATCCTTGTGCAATGTTTTGGAGGAAGACAAAATGGACGTGGAATTCTCCTGCGTTTTGCTAAAGTCGTTGGTCAAATCTATGGTTACATTATTCGTTGTGTTCACAGATGCATCCATTTCTTCGCTCTTTAAACTTTGTAAAACGCCCATATATTTATTGTACAAATCTTGATTATTTGGGGGGTTATTATTCATTTCTTCCTTTTTAGGTATACTCTCCACTTCTTCTTCCTTCATGTGTGCCTTCTCAAATTTGTTATTGGTCTTTTCATCAAAGGGGGAGCTCATATTGCTATAGGAATTGTTTCCTTCCTCTTCCCTATCCAAAAATTCCTTTTTGTTTCCATGCGGGCTGCTATCACTGGTTTTTCTTACCATGTCCCTTTTGTCGACCCTTCCATGTTTTTCACGCCCCCCATTTTTGCCATAAGAAATCGACCCTCCCAATCTATTCGCTCCACTCAAAATATTAGAATCGTTTGAACTGTACAAAATGTTGTTATAATCAGAATCCTTTTTGAAATTTAAATAATTTAATCGCTCTTTTGGCTTCTTTTGTCCAGCATGGTTATACTGGTCTACGCTGCTACTCTGCGCAAAGTCGGAACTGACTGAATCAAGCAGGATGCTGCTAGTATTACTATTAGCCTCGTAACTTGTTTGAGAAATAAAATTGTAATTCCTTTTATCCCCCTCGTCATCATTATAATAGTCCTTGCCCTTATGCCTCTCATTTGTTCTTCCACGTGTACCAATAATCATCTTTGGGGATGCCCTGTTGCTTTCCTTATTCCTTGATGTGACCTTTTGTGAATTATAATCAGCAAGGTCACTCTTTTTTTTACTTCCACGTGGATAGTGTTTAAGCTTATTCTTACTGCTGGACATTTGCAGTGTAGTAATTTTGCGCGATGCCTTTTTCCTCAAAGAATAATCTTCGCTATTTTTTAAATTTTTGGGGTCATAATTCGATTTTTGCAATTCATTTCTTGGATATTTACTATCCTTGCCCGTCCCTTCTGCATCCACAGAATTGTCCACCTCCTCATCCTCGTCGGTGTGGTACGTGGGGTATTTACTTCGATAATCATCCTTTCCAATTTGCCTATTTTTTATCTTATTAGTTTTCTCCTTTTGCTCATATGTCTTATCATATGGGAGGGAGTCCGAGTCGTCGACACCATATTTATTCGTTGGGTTATTTTTTAGACCATTTTTAGGACCATTATGCGAACCCCTTCTTGCACCTCCCCCACTGATGTCTTCCCCCCTAGGCTCGTCCTCCCTCACAGACCAATTGCGCTTAAAGTCGAACAGGATATCTTCATAAGATTCCTTCCTCCTCGTCTTGTCCGTCTTACACTTACTACCACCGATGTCGTAAGTGTTGTTTTTATTTGCGCCGCTCAGTTTGGACGTTCCCCTGACAAATTTGTGTTCATCCTTGGCGTTGCCATTTTTAGCCCACTTGTTGATGGACTTCAAATTGAAAATGTCTTTTATCTTAGAGCTGTTGAAGAGGGAAACGTCGTGGTTGCCCAGGTACGACGAGGAGTTCTCACTTCCGCAATACTCATCCAGCTTGTTGCGCAGTTTTTCCCTAGGAATGGTGGCGCGACTACTGCTTCTGCTGCTGCTACTCCCACCGCGACTTCCGCTACGTCCGATATGGGAGCCTTCCCTGCCTTTGCTCCAACCTCCACTCCTACCCCCATGGTTATTATTGTTACTCGCGCTGTGTAAAGCTGACAATGTCAGCCCTTTTAGTGTGACCGTCGATTGATCATTGCCCCGGTTGCGGCCTCCCTTTGTCGAACCCTTCGTCCTTTTGTCCTTCTTACTAAAGGAGAGGAAATCCATATTAGAACTGCTACTGTTGGAAGAACTCTCGGATTCATTAACCCCTTGGTCATGTCCTGATTTTTCCTTCCTTCCCACAGAATCGAACTGTTCATCATAGTAATCATTTTCCGTCCTGTCGTCTAAATTGCTTGCATCGTTTTTCATTTTCTTGTTGCTCAAACTAAGTTCATTAACCCCCTCGTCATCGACCAGGTCGTTCAGGCTGTCTACAATTCCATCTTCCTCATCGTCCCTTATTTTTATTTCTTGTCTTTCCTCTGTTCCATTTTTATATTTTTTGCCAAAACTGTTTTTATTCGAGTTAATAAAGATGGTAAAGTCGTCATCGTAGTCATATATTTCGTTTTCCTCTTTTGAGTTCTCATTATTAGTACAGTTCATTTCGTAGAATCCTTCCTCCGCTGTGCCGATTTTTGCTTCCTTACTTTCTTCCCCTGCAGGGTCACTCTCTGAGCGTCTATTTGGGAATCCTTCCCTGTCTATGTGGTGAAGATCATTTCCGGAAGCAACACCAACCCCGCCAGCACGTACCATCTCCTCGGCGCTACGAAAAAATGTCTTCGAAAAATCGCACACATTATTCCTCTGATGAGTGTCTAGTTCGCTTTTCAATTTTTCAATAATGATAATATTATCATTATTGTTTATAGTCAGCTCGTCGATTTCTTTGTTCAGTCGTTGAATCATTTTTTCATACGAGTTATATTTCTTCTGCGCTTCCATGTGGAATTCATTATACGCCATGGTGTTCTGCTCAAATTTGTTTTCCTTCTCCTGGAGGAGTTCCAACTTGATAGTTTTCTCGTTCAAATTTTCCCTCAACGATTTAATTTCATTTTTTAAAATAATTTCTTGCTCCTCCTTCTGTAAATGCATTTTATTTATTTCACTAATGTTATTTTGGACATACTTCACATTGCTTTCGTATTCATTAAGTTGCTTCTTCAAATCGTGTATAATGCTTTTGCTTTGAATTACTTCATTTTCGTATTGCGTTTTGTCGATGGCTACTTTGGTAAGAGCATCAAGTGAATCATCTCTTTGTGTCTTTAAGTTAGCTATCTCTATTGACAAAGTCTGTATGTACGTTTCTAAATTTTTAATTTTATCAACGGACTTTTTCAATTCCGACTGGATCTTTATTGCTGCGTCTTCTATTATCGTTTTCTCTTGTAAAATAATTTTGTAATCATCTTCAATTTTTTTCAAGTGATTATTCGTTACATTTAGCATGTGAATTTCCTGCTGCAGTTGTTGAATGATTAAGGTGCTGTTCGCATTATGAGATGAATTCGTTATTTGTAAATTTTTATTTTCCTTTAACACTTCATTGTATTGTATGGTAAGATCTCCATATTGTTTGTTTACATTTTCTAGCTTTTCCTTAAAACTTTGAATAACTTCATCCTTTTTGTCCAACAGGGATGCGAACTCGTCTATCTGATTGCTCGAATCTATCAAATCCTCCTTTAACTTTTTTATTTCACCTCTATAAACTTCTATCTTCTGTTTTTGAAGTATGCTTCCATCCTTTAGCTCGTCAATTTTGTCATTTGCTTCGCTCAATTTGTTTAGCAAATTGTGAATATACTCCGTCAAATGCTTCTTCGTCTCGTTCGAAAAAGACATAATGTTATTAAATTCGGCTGACTCCAATTTCAAATTATTTATGGTATTCTTGTTCAGATTAAATTCACTTTCTTTCACTTTGATTTCTTTTTCTAAATTCTTTAGTTCATCCTTCAAAATGGCAATTTCGCTTTTTTCTTCATTGTATTTCTTTTCATACTTATCGCTTTTTTTCTTCTCTTCCTTCAGTTCTGCTTTCAATGTTTCCAAAACGGATTGTAATTCGTGTAGTTCTCTTTCAACGTCTCTCCGCTTCATCACCGCTTCGTCTTCACAGCTCGAATTACCCCATCCATTTTCATCCCTCACCATATTGGACGCCTTATCCTTGTCCCGTTCCCCACCTCCGTTATCACCCACCCGATGCAGATTCTCAACCTTCTTCTCCTCCTCGTTCTTCATCTGAAGTTCCGTCTCCAACAGTTTTACCCTATTCTTCAAATGATAAATTTCCCTATTTTTCGATTTTACCATTTTGCTTAAATTGCTGTCCTTCCTCACAGAGGTTCCATTTCTCGTCTGCATATCCCCACTCAGGGTATCCTCATCCGGATCAAAGTTACACATCGTGTGCTCCTGGTTTATAAGTTCACTTGGAGCGCTTTCACATGCCGACTCGTCATCGTTCGACTCCTTCTGCTTTTTAATATCGTTGATCATCCTCAGTTCGTTCAATTTTCTGATTTCAATTTCGTACTCACTTAATCGTTTGTTCAGGTACTTTATTTCTGCGTTTTTCTGTTCCAATAGGACTTCGCCCCGAACTGGAGATTCCTCCCCATCGTTGTCCTTCCGCATGCGGTCTATGTCCACTTTGAATTCCTTACATAAATTCTTGTAGTAGGACAATTCTTTTCCTAACGATATGGTGTGTTCGTTGATTAGGCAGCTTCCCATTTGACACAACTTCTTTTCCTTTTTCTTAATTTTGTCAATTTCAAAATCGTCAAATGATTTCGTTCTGTTGTTAAAGGAACACAAGTCCTCACAAGATACGTCGTCAGTGGATTCATCAAATTTGTCTTTCTTCTCATTTTGTAGCATCTCCAACGTGAACTTCAACTTTTTATTTTCCTTCATATAGTTCTCCTTCAACTTGCTTTCCTCCTGCACTTGTTTGGACAATTCCGAAATTATGCGCTCGTACTGCTTCGATGCTGCGCCTATGCTATGCTCATTCTGAGCGGTTTGCTTTGACTCATCCGGGACAACTCCAGTACCTACCTGATCAGGCGCCTTTTCCACCTCCCCGTCGTACTCCCCGCTTAAGTACAAATTGCTACCGTGCTTTCCATCCCCTCCTTCTTTTACTGCCAATTGAGAATTGTTCTTTCTCTTATCATTTACCAACTCTTTGTATCTCCTCTGCGAGTCTTCATACTTATCTGATAGCTTCTGAAAATTCTGAATGGCCTGAATCAGATCATCAAAAATTATTTGCACTAATGGTGTGCAGGACAGACATAAGGAACCCTTATAATTTAAATTGTTCAATTTTTTTCTTAATTTTTTATAACTTAAATTGTTGTCAACATCATTTGCCGCTTTTTCCACTTCCTCACTTTTGCTGCTATTTTTATTTTCCTTCTCTGGCAAATGGTTCCCCTTTTTATTTTCTCCAAGGTTTGAATTTATTCTCGTTTTTTGGTTAACCCCTACGGAGGATGTCCCCTGATTTGTAAAACATTTTTTCGTTTCACTCTTTGTTGTCCCACCCTTCAAGTCACTACTTGTGCGTCCCTTCCGAGTTTCCATCTTTTGTCTTACGACGGAAGCATGATGTTACACGGAGGTAACTGCTGTACAGGGTGGTGGTGGTTCTCCTCTCTATTTTTGGCTACTTCGCCAATCTGCATGTCCAATTTCTTCACACGCTGGGGAACAATCCCAACATGGAAAAGTAGGTCGTGCACATAGATGAACACACTGCTAACGAGTGCTACCCTTTATGTGGTACTCCAGACGAGTCAGTAAGACGCGAGAGCTACTACGTACCAAATGTATATAATTAAACGATGCGAATGATCAATTCAGATGATGTATCAACGCATCTTCAAAAGGGAAAAAAGAGAAAAAAGAATTATTTTTCAAAATAATTACGAAAAAAAAGTTTACGCCTTACACATAAACACAGAGCCTACTGCGATTAGCAAGTCTTTGGCCAAGTCCAGCTCAATAATTGCCCTTAAAAAATATGCACATATATCAACATGCTTACGTGTGAGGGGCTTATTTAAAAAAAAAAAAAAAAATGCGCAATCTTAAGCAGCAAAATGGAATGTGCAATTTTGCACATATTTGCAAGTTGAGGAAACGAAGGGGGGGGGAAGCATGCGGAAAGGGCGAAAAAAAAAAAAAAAAATTAAAAAAAGTGGGGTGAAAAATAAAAGGCACGATAATTTATGGAGAATAATACAGAAGCCATTTAGAACGCTCGAAATTATGTGCCACTTAATTACATAAAAGCACAAATGACATTCTGAATGTCCCTGTTTTTTTTTTTTTTTTTTTTTTTTTTTTTTTTTTTTT